GTTCCATTTTGGGCAGCTGCAGGTAGGCCTGGGAAGGACCCATTCCTGAAACCCAGGGCTGTGTTGACCGTACTGAGCCAGATGAACCAATGACTCCGTGCAAGGCGGCTTCCAGGTTCCCAGGCCCAGATTAAAGGGTATGGAGGGGCCTGAGGCTGATAGGAGCAAAGGGCCTAAGTAGCATGTGCTGCACAGATTTCCAACAGCAATAAATAAAAATAACTCCAAAAGGCACCAGACAAAACAAATCTTGAATTCACAGATGCATTCAAATCAAAGAAACAACCAGCAAGCATAAATCATGCGCTGCAATCAAAACAAAACATTTCCTCCCCTTTGATCCCCTGGCTTTGGTTGTGGCAAAGGCACAAATGGTGTCATTCCTCCAAGGGGCCCCAGGAGCAGCAAGCACTTGTTTCCTACAAAGCCCTGGAGTGAAGTTGCACCTGTGGAATTGTGGGGAGTTTTTAAATGGCAGGTCTTCAACCCAGTGGCTTGGAAAAGGGCCCCAGGGGGAGGGATCACAACGTTGCCAGTTGCTGGTGCCGGGCTTTACTTCATTCTAGAACTGAAAGGTGAGTGAATATGCTCTGGGCACAGGACTTATCTTAGTGTGAGCCCAAGTATCTGTTTTGGATGTGTGGACTCCACTCTAAAATTGTAGCTGCTATCAAGTCAGCTTTCTCTGGGAAGAACTGGGTGGCAGGAACTGCCTTCTCCTCTGGGCCTGCCTTCTCCCTCAAGTACAGTATTCCAGGAGCCAGTGGTGGACTGGGCCAGAGGCAAAAGTGGGAGGAACAACAGGTGTGGCTCTCACTTTGTACAGTAAGCCACACAAAAGACAGAGGTTTGCAGAGTCGACTCAAGACATTTTGCTGCCTGAAGCAGTGAGCCAGGCTCTCTCTCTGTCCCAGGTCAAGGTACTTAGCAGCCAAGGCCAGCCAGGTACTTGAGGCATCTGAGGCAGAACATCCAGCAAGCACCTCATCTTCCTTCCTGGTGATGAAAAGTGCAATAATTGCAAACCTAATAACAAAATCACCTGCTGTCCTTTCAAGACACCCAAAGTCAGCCTAAGGCTGATGCCTCACATTGCCTAACAGGAGGGCCAGCCCTGGAGGTTGGTTTGAACATCTTCACACACACATCTCCCCAGCCTCCATCCAGGCAAGCAAGAGACATTGTTGCAGCTCAACTTTCCAGCCAGGCAAAAGCACTCAAGGAGGCTGGGGTGGGATGTGACCCAGAGAGAGTCCAGTGGGTCTACTCTGACTGGCTGAGCCTGTTGTTCTTCACCTTTGCTTTAGCTGCAAGCACCTGGCAATATCTGTGGCATTTATGCTAAACCCTACGGATGCTCCAAATTCATTTGGCTTTGGTTCAGGAGATTGCAGCACAAGAAGCAGGCCCCTTATTCAGATTACTTCCCATGTTCTGCTTGTTTGCTGGCTTGCTTATAAGCACCCTGCCCTACCCAGGTCAGAGGTGTGATCGCAGTGGAAGGAAGTCGACCTCTGTCTTTTGTGTGGCTTACTGTACAAAGTGAGAGCCACACCTATTGTTCCTCCCACTTTTGCCTCTGGCCCCATCCACCACTGGCTCCTGGAACACTGTCCTTGAGGGATTGTGGCCCACCACCTGAAAAAGGCTCCCCACCCCTGAGCTAAAGGATTTTGTTGAAGCTTCTATGTAGCAGCAACTGATTGAGGAATGGGACCGGCTAAAGGGTCTCTGCCTGCCATTGGGTAAGCTGCTCTGGTGCCAAAGAAGGGTGAGGCAGGCAGGTAGGCAAGAAACAAGGGCCAAGGAAAGGAAAGCCAGGTGGTTGGTAATTGAGTGCTAGCAGGCCAGCCAGGAGGCGGTGATGCGGCCCACTCCTAAAGAAACCTGACCAGGATCTGATGGTTTTTGGCAACTATTGCCCATTTGCTAATACCTGTTTTGGGGGGGAAGTTGATAGTAACACAGGAAGCTGCCCTATATTGGAACAGACTATTGGCCCAGCTAGTTCAGTACACTGCCTGGTAGCATCTCTCCAGGGGTTCGGGAAGAGATTGTCTCTGGTTCTGCCTGGAGAGGCCAGGGATCATCTGCACACAAAACAAAGGCCATGCTCCTGTGCTTACAACCTTAAAGTTGGTGGCAATGCAACTGCAAGCACTCTTGAATGATATCTGTTTTCTAGACCTTTATCTGGAGAAAAGGCACAGAGTGTGTGTGGCTTTTGACCACGGAATCCTGCTGGATCAGCTCAAAGCACAAAGAGCTCTGCCACCCAAGCTCAGGAATGTTTTCTACAGAGGTCTCTATCATCACCCCATCTTTATATGCGTACCTGTGCAAAATGAACACATGGCCACGTCCTCCTCTTTATTTCATTTATGAATCCCTTCGTGTCAGGCATCTCCAAGTGTTTTACAATGTCACAACGTAGAAAATCAGTTGCAGATATAAAAACGAGAGAAATACAGATTTAAAAACGATTTAAAACAACAGGACATACATAAATCAAATTGATTCCAAGACAGGCAACAACTGGGATAAATATCTTAGGAGGCTTGTTGAAAGAGGAATGTCTTTGGCAGGCATCAAAAAGACCACAGAGAAGGCACCTGCTCTGTCTGATATGCAACAGGGAGGGTGTTCCAAAGGACAAGTGCCACCACACTAAAGGCCCCATTCTGACATAATGCAGAACGGACCTCCTGATGGGATGGTATCTGCAGGCCCTTCCCTCTCCTGCAGAATACAGTAATTGGTTGGGTATGCAGCGGTTGAGGCATTCTTTTAAGCACCCTGGACATTAAAGAGGCCTTTGGAGGAAGTTGTACCAATGAGGATGCTACCTTCCTCCTGGGCGTTATTGACTACACTTTCTGTTCTAACTGCTGATGTTTTTCGAGACCAGCTTTTCCCAACCAGGTTCTCTCCAGATGTTTTGCATTACAACTCCCATCAGCCTCAGCTAGCATGACCTGGGAAAGGCCACTGTACCATTTTCTTCTGTTGTTTCTTTTAGTTTGTTTTGACATTTCTACACTGTCATCTGTTTTCTTCCTTGTGGAAGAAAAGCAGACTAGAATTATTATTGTTATTGTTATTATTATTTTAAACACCCATAAATAAAACAAATGGTGGTTGCCTAGCAACATCATCTCAACATGGAAGTGGCTGAGCAAGGCAACCCGTGGTTGCCAGGCGATAGGACCCTGCAGCAACACATAGCTGAGAATGGGTAGCATGCGGTGGGTTGAGGTGAGCAGAAGGACAGAGGGAGGACCCATAACCTCCTTCCTGAAAACTGACCACCTCTTAATGACACTCGTATGGGTCCACCAGAGGGTGGCTGAACTGCCACACCCATAATCTCTGAGCATTGGTCCTGGTGGCTGCGGCTGATGGGAGTTGGAGTCCAACTAAATAAAGATATTGTAGAACTGGAAAGGGGCAACTGAAATGTTCAAGGGGATGGAAAACTCCCTTATGAGGAAAGGTTGCCGCATTTGGGACTTTTATAGTTTAGAGAAAAGGCGTTAGTTTCAGAGAGAGGAGGCAACATGACAGAAGTTTATAAAATTATGTAAGAGGTGGAGAAAGTGGATAGACGAAATATTTTCTCCCTCTCCACTAGCAATGCAGCTGAATGTTGGAAGATTCAGGGCAGACAAAAGAAAGTCCTTCTTCACACAGCCCACAAACTGTGGGACTTGCTCCCACAGGAGGCTGTGATGGTCACCAACTTGGATGGCTCTAAAAGAGGATTAGACAGATTCATGAAGGAGAAGGCTATGTATGGCTACGAGCCAGGATAGCTCTTCTCTACCTCCATTGGTGGAGGCTGTATGTCTCTGAATGCTAGTACTTAGAATCACAAGTGGGGCCTGTGCTGCTGTGTTCAGTTCCTGTTTTGGGGCTTCCTATTAAGGGCATCTCATTCACCATGAGAACAGGAGGCTGGACTAGATGGGCCACAGGTTCTTCTGATGTTCTCCTTGTGACTTGGGCAAATCTCTTCATATGTTCTTAAATTCTTAACAATGTCTGAATCTAGAACTGGGCAGATCCAGAACCGGCTTTCTGCCCTTACTCCTGTTCATCCGTCCATTCTGAGCAGGGCCTCCCAAGACATTTTGGCACATGAGGCAGACCCCAAAATGGTGTCAGGGGAGAAGGAGTGAGGGAAGATCTACATTAGGAACAAGCTGAGGGAAGAAAGATTGGCATTGGGATCTGCTTCCCTGGTGGATCCTGCCATTTGAGGCAGTCATCTCACCTTGCCTCATGGGAGGGCTGGCCCTGCTTCTGAGGTACAGGCCTCAGAATTAGGGGGCCTGAGGCATCCTTGGCTTTCACTGCTCTTAAAGCTGCCATATTCCCAGGTCTGGTGTCAACACCAGGCAACTGCCTGTGTCCTCATGCTCCACCAGGGCCATTCCTCACTGATACCTGCTCTGGGCAATCAGCCATGAACTTACTTGGATGGAACAGTGTTGGGCAACCATTTAAATCTCCCATGATGCCAGAGTGTGAAAGTCATTACATCAAGCACTCCTGGGCATTGTGGGAAAGTTATTTGGCAGCCTGCCACTGTAGCTCGCTGGTATATGAGGAGCCTACCAGAGAGAATTCTGCTAGACACCCCTTCCAACCCAGAGCTGACCTTGTGTATTTCAACCAGGCCAGATGTCTGTATTTTTACACCCTGGCAAAAGCCCATGGAGAACTGCACCTGTGGAACACTTGCCTTCCTCAGATCTCTTTAAAGATTGGAAGACGTAACTCAGTTGAAAACAGCAGCCTTAGCTGTTCTGATCTAGAAGGAGAGACCTAATGGTTTTATTCATTCAGGGATGTTGAAAACTTATGTTCGCTTGACCCTGTTGCATCACATCTGTAGGGTGAAGTCTGGATGGTTTCAGAGAGCCCATCACTTGATCACTTTGCCATGCAGAGATAGCCAACATTTAGGTGCACCTAACACCCCTATCCTGACCAAGCACATGATGGGTAAGTAAATCTCCACAGATTTTCCCTTTGTCCATGTCCTTACATGGTGAAACCAAAGCCGCCCCCTTATTAAGGGAAGCTTGCATTCAGAAGTGCATTTCAGTTAATTTACCACCACAATCCAACGGGCAGTAGGTTACATGACATTATTTGGAACTGTTAATGTTATACTGTTATTGGTTATACTAGCAAGATGGAACTTCCATGTGCAGCAGCTTAAATTTATTTTATGAAATAAATTGTATGAAATAAACAGCTAGAGAGCTGCTGCCAGACAGTATATACAAAAGCTAGACGCACCAATGGCCCGATTCTATAGGAGACAGCTTCCTATGTCAAGCCAATTCCTGTTTAAATTATTCACAATCAATAGATAAAATAATTGATTTCCACCTTTCCTGTCTTCCCACTTGCTCAGCACAGGGCCTGTGGCTCATTCCACCAGCAACCCAGTGGGGAATTTTGAGGAATGTTAGGCTGAGAGCAACTGCCCCAGGGGCACTTGGGGAGAGTTTGGTAGCCGAGTGTGGATTTGAAGCTGGGCTCTGCAGCTGCCTGTGTCCTACGGCAAATGCAGTACAAGAGGGGTTGGTTGTTTCAACTGATGGACTCCTCCAGATGACTTGTTCATTGAGCATTTGTCCCGATATGCTTGCACGAAGCATGCGGGAAGGTTTTACCCATGGAGGCTGGCCCATTAGGGCAATTGGGGCACTGCCCCACCAACCTCGGCCTGCCCTCAGCCAATCCACACCAACCTGCCTTGTCACTTACAACCACCAGTCAAGAGAGTTCTGCTGCAGGCCAGCTTCCTCCTGCTTGGTCTCCGGGTTGCTACGTACAACTCAGGAGGGCAGAGGATGGATAGAATTAGATGACTGTCCCTCACATTAGCTCTGCCTACTATTGGTCTCTCTGCCTTCTGTCCTTCCAGTCCCAATGGGCGTATCTGGTCTTTATTGAGTTATTATCATTTGGGTTTGTGCACATGGAGATTACTCATTTTCCTATCTATCAATTGTTGTCCCACACTTTCGGATGCATTTCTCCATTACTTTCCTAACTGAGAAAAGTCCACCTGCTTCTTTTTTTAAAAAAAATGGATTTGTTATGCCAGAGCCATTTAATCTACTTTAATTGTGCAAACCCAAATGGTATGTGATTGAATCCTCCCACCCCAAAATAGTGACAGTCTGGAGGTGACCCATTTTTGCATAAATGTGTTAAGAAGGGGTTAGCAAGGTGGCTATGAGGAATGCCCTCCCCCATTTTTAAAAAAACCAATCCAGAGAAATGTCACTAGTCCAAACTTTTTATTTTCCTCGAACCTCCCTGTTGTTTAGCAGGGGGCTAAACATCAGCCTCATAATTTCACTCTAAGTGAAACTTGGGAGCCTTTTATGGATGTACAGACTAAACCCCACCTTTAACGATGTTACTGAAATCCTTTTGGCCTTTCGTATGTTTCATCCAAGCAAGAATATCTGTATCTGCTTTAGAATTTCGCTTTAGGCAAAATTTGGCTGTTGGCTCTAATAAGCAGGACACGACATTCAAGGAATCTCACCTCCCTTTGTATTTCAAAGTGATGGCTTCATATTAGATGCGCCAGGTTAGTCAATGGAAATTAACCCGCTCTCTGTTCTGAAAGATTTGAATGGGCCTGTTGGGCCAGAGTGCCTTCTAGTGGTGGCAGTAACACTCTGCTTTCCTTCTCAATGAATGGAGTTGGTTCCTTTATGTAGCAATTGCCATTCATAAGTGTTTGGAACTTCAGTGGTCACCTATATAAATTCCAAAATCTGTTTTCAGGGCTGTGTTTCACCTTTGAAACAGATGAAATCATAAGAACAACAAGAGTACCTCTGATTATGTGCAGAGTGCATTTCCTCATTGGCACCTCCATTATACATCTTTAGGCACCAGGCAAAAATGTTCCTCTTCAATCAGCCCTTGGGCTGATTAACAGTCTATGCCCTTTAAAACGTATTTATTGGATGGGGGGGGGGTTGTTGGTTTGCTTTGTTTTTGTTCTTGTTTCTATTATGTTCTCTGTGGTTTTATTTTGTATTTTGATGCTGTGAACTGCCCGAGATCTTTGAGTGAACAGCGGTTTACAAATTTAATTAATTAATTAATAATTGGTCATGTTGACTGACCTGACAGGAGCTGCAGTCCAATGACATCCGGAGTACCACAGTCTTCCCACCCTTGATTTAGCCCAGTGCTGTCTACTCTGACTGGCAGTGACTATCCAGGGTCTCAAGCAGAATGTCACTTGCTATCAGGTCCTTCTAATTGGAGATGATAGGAGCTGAGCCAGAGACCTTATGCATGCATAGCAAGTGCTGTGCCATTGAGCTGTGTACACAACGCTATTATAGCACCTTGTACTGAATGTCCAATATAACTGGCTACCTGCTTCCCAGGTCTCTCTCTTCTCCCTCCTCATTTCTTACCAAGTCTTGGGACTGAACTGCAACTGAGCTGTGATCCTAGTGCATCACACTCACTTTCCCATTATTTGGACCAAGGGACACAGGCCTTTCCATTCTTCCTTTGAGTGTCTTTGTGTATGTGTGTGTGAGAGAGAAAGAGTTGGGTGGGGGAGAGTCAAGAAACTCCATTTTCATGCCCACCAAACATGCTTGCCAAGTCACACACAGGTTCGGCTGCTTTCAAGAGATTTGCAGAGCATAGTCCATCAAAGCAAACGTACAAAGAGTGCTGCCTTAAACTAGATATAACCAATTCCCAAACTATGGGAAGGTATAAAACTGAAATGGCAAATATCTCCCTGGGCATGCTGCTTATAATCTAAACCAATTTTTATTTATCTGCTTGTGAGTTCCATTTGGCAGCCCCCCCCCCATGATACGTGAGCAGACTCAACAGAAATGTGAATATATACATAAGAACGAACTGCGGAATATTTTTCATGGACTGCAAAGATCACTGGAGACATTACCTGCTTGCTGTTTGATTCTGCAAGGTTGCTTGATTCACTGTTCTGCATGCCAGGTGCCGGCAAGTCACCACCCACTTGCAGTGAGCCCCAGTTCTGTGCAAGGCAGATGTCAGAAAAGGCAGGTGGTGCAACTGGATATATGGGAAACTGGAACATATAGCCATGAAGCCATTTATGCATATAGCCATTTATGATGGGAGAGTGAATGGGGCGCCTTCACCAGCCACCACTATGCAAATATTGCAGAAGCCCTCCAGAAGCCCAATTCGCTTCCTCAAACTGGCTTTTGAATTCCTGCAGAATAAAGTAACTAAGTAAAAGAGAGTTCATCAGGTGTGGACTTTGGCAATTAAATATGGCACCTTGTGCAAGGGCAAAATTTGGCACTCACAAATGGATAGTCTCAATTATGGATCTTCTGTTTTCAATTTTGACCCGCCTCAGCTCAGTGCCCTCTGTGGGCGCCCACATTGCCCAAAAGCTGGCACTGGATAGAGAGACAGATACCCCAACAGAGCAAGGAGCAGGGCAAAGGCCCCCCTGCCCTTAAACTTTTAGCTGTCACTCCTAGAGAGCAGAAGAAGTAAAATTCTTTCCAGGCATGTGCGAGACTTGCTGTTCAATTATTCCCCGTTTATTCCTTTCGTCAGCGCCTGCCTCCCTTTTCAATATGCCATATAATTTGCTAATAATAATAATTACAGTGATCGCTGGCCCAGAGTGCAAAGAGGTAATCAACTCCTTAAGCCCTGACTGTGCACTACTAAAGAAAGGGAATGCAAAAAAAAGAAAAGAAAAAAAGAGCTACTCAGCCCGTCATTATTCAGCCTAGCCAATCTAGGGTTCTTTGTTCACCTCCCTATGATGCAATCCCAATGAAGGTTTCTGATATACTGGAGGACCATGATGGAATATCCTGAGGGAAGCCCAGCAAATCTGGGTCAGATTACTTTAGCAGCTCTATGCCAGTTTAGTGCCCTTCAGTTGTTTTGGGCTGCAGCACCTATCAGCCAAACCTCCAGAGGACACCAGGATAGTGGAGGAACAGCCAACATGGTGCCCTCCAGATGTTGTGGACTGCAACGCCCGCAATTCCTGACTGCTGGCTATGCTGGCTGGGGCAGGTGAGAACTGTAGTTGAAAACATCTGGAGGGAACCCCCATATTGGCTACCCCTGTTCTACACCATTGCCATTACAGGAAGGTGGGATATCAATATGATAAACAAATCCTTGCCTCCCATCCCCCCAGGATTCAAAAATGGTGGCCCTGCCAATAAGGAGTCCCTACCCCGTATTGTATCTGATTGCTCTACCAACATTTCCCAGGATGCTTTGGGCCACTGTCATACAACAAAACACAGAGCTAGGTGGACTGTTTGTCTGGCACAGCATGGCAAATCCCTCCTGTTTTGATTACTCCTACCTACAGAACCAGATCAGCCTTTGCCAACCTGGTGCCCTCCATGTTTTGGAGAATGACTCCCATTAGCCGGCAAAGCTGTGAGCTCCCAAATTATCTTTGTTTTTTCTCCTGGACTCTGCACAGAATGCATCTTATTTGGCCTGTGGGGGAACAGAAATAGAATTTGCTTTAGTTATGTGGAACAAACACCACCTGTGACTAGAGATGGGGACATTTTCAGTTTCTGTTTATCTCTGTTTCTCATTTTTCCATCTTAAGTTCAGTTCTACATCAATTTGCCATTTTTTTAAAAAAAAAATCCTCATGAAAGAATTAACCAGCATTTTAGCTCACATTTCTCTTAATAAGCACCCATCTGTATGCAGTTTTGTCTAATATATTGTTATGATTCTTTTAATAATCTCTACATTCACTGAATGGTTAGAATTCAAGCAAACTCATAAATTCAGAGTGTCGGCTTGCTGGGGGTGGGTGCTGAAGAAACAAAAGGCTGGTAATGGCCTGGTTTGTTTGATAATGGTAAGCCATCTGCAAAACATCAGACCCTCTGCCCAGTAGCTTTTTGGGGTAGGTTAACCACAGGCATGATGTAAGCAACAGGAAAGAGACAATGCCCTTTGCAATGAGAAACAGAGAAACAGAGGCGGTCAGGGTGACGGGGGAGGAGGGGCTGGATGCTGGAAGCGGAAGGGGAGGAGTTGCTTTCTGCAGGGGCTGCTGGGAAGAAGGGGGAGGTGGGCAGAACTCCATGTGGGACTGAAGGGCAGCAGCCAGAGATACAGAGGGGTGGCATTTAGGATGCTTCTAGATCCATTGTTGCACTGCTGGGAAGAACAAGCTCCTCTTAGGATGCAACTGCCGTGAACTCTCTCTCTGTAAAACTCAGGTGTAAATAGAGGTAAATAAACCATATGTCATAAAGACACTAGGCTCAGTCATACCTCATTCCAAAGGACACCAAGACCCTGGAATCTCGCATCGCTCAACAGAGATTGGGCAGAGAGTGTACATAATCTGCAATGCAATTTTGCCTGAAACAATGCATTTTTGTATGTTATTTTCAATAATATTTTACCCCAGTATTTTAATGTTTGGACACATTGTTGGCTGCAGAATTTTGTTACAAAATACAGATAAGTGCCAAGTTTCGAAAGGTGGCGCTGTTTCGGTTCTGTATTGTTTTGGAAAGTGCAAATCTAGCTAGGTTTGCCCTGAAATACAAATTTAATTGAAATTCTCCCCTCTCTCTAACTATTTTCATAATAGCCTGCCGATCTTCTCAGGTCAAGTGTCGTATGACAAAGCAAGGAGCATGCTGACCCCATGTGGTGTAGTGGTTAGCGTGTTGGACTAAGACCAGGGAGACCAGGGTTCGAGCCCCTCCTCAGCCAGAAAGTTTGGACCAGAATTCCCATCAGGCCTAGGCAGTCCCTGGATAGGACTGATGGGAGCTATAGTCAAAAAATCATGGATAGCTGACATGAGTATGAAGGCACACATGCCTACCCAAAGCCAGCATCACTCTCCCTTGCAAACAAGACAACATAAAGCATTGCTGTGTACCATTCTGTGACTTGCTGTTAGCGATAAAATGAAGCCTGAAAGACGGGAACAGTTTCCTTCCATTTCCAGTGCCATGTTATTAAGAGTTGTACAAGGTTCCTGCATTAAAAAAAGGAGGGGGAGGGAAGGTGGAATTGGGCTTAATCCCAGGAGAAAGGGGAGCTTCCTGCACTGCATCCCATCTTGTCAGTGGATGGAGGGGCTCTCACCCTCCAGAAAAGGCAGGGACTGAGTGAGATCCTTTTCTTAAATCCTGGGGATCCACTGCTGGTCAACAATACTGGGCTAGATGGACTAATGCTATAAGACAGCATCCAAGATATCTTTCACTTGACACTGCAGCTTTTTCAGGTCTGACAAAACCAGATACATCTTTATGTTATTCATTTCCAAAAGATGGGATGATGGCTGCCTAGTGCCAACGTGTGCTGGTGTTTTTTTAAGTGGACCTATGAGCTTTTATGGTGGCTAATAGACTTATACTGTATTTTGAGCCTGGAAAGATAAATGCCCATCATCCAGGGGTTTTTCCCCCAGCCGGAACTTCTCAGGTGGGTGCCATTTCCATGATAAGAGAACAAGGGAGTTCTGGCACCTCTTTATCTAGAAAAATAGCACTGCCACGATCTATTATGCAATGGTTTGAGGACCTCACTGCCCTGGCTACGCTCAAAGGGCTTTCATATAGGTTTGAATCTCACATGGACATCTATTTGGACATCTGAAGTGCTGATTAAACTCATATGTTTAATTTAAGATTCACATTGTGATGGTCACAGTACTTGCAATATGAACTGATGGTGATTAGCATTATTTGATGATGATGAATACTTTTCTTATATTTTTCTTTCTCCTTCCAATTTCCTAATTTTTCTTTTCTCTTCCTCTCCATATTAATAAAACAAATAAGAAAATGGGATAGTGGAAACAATGGACTCCTTAGTATAAGATGCAGGGCTCACAGCTTCTGAGCATGTGCAAAATGCCTTCTTGGCTTCAGGTTTATGTGCTGCTAGGCCTCCCTCCGCCTCTCTCACCCCCAACACCCACCCTTTCAGGCTCTCTCCAGTCTCTGTGCAAATGGAGCAGATACGGTAACTAAGGAGGAGTCGGTTGTTACTAAGTGGGGGACCGACTGGAGATATACAGAGAGATAACTAGATCATCCGTTGCTTCCATCCAAGCCCTCCTTTATCACAACTACATAAATTAGAATGAAAATTTAATTTGGGGCTTTGAAAAATTCATGCACAGTCAAAGCAGCGATGCCAATCTGCTCCAAGTTTGAATGTTTCCTTCGTACTATGAAAGAGTGAATGGATCACATGTTGGGTGTTGATCCCTTGGGAGAGGATTTAAATATTAACCCCTTATATATTAACTTAAGAACTGGTGAGATCATTTGATCCCTGAGATTGTTAGCAGCAGCTCATAATCCCATTCATGAAGCCTGCTCAATTTGTGATCTGGCAAGTCAAACGCAGCCCACTTCTTGTGCCCATTCTGATACTTTACCAACGCCAGCAACACCAATACCCTGCTGTTGCTGTTCACGGGGCTGGAGCAATGCCCCGGAACTTCATTTCTAGGTCCGAGTTTAGCAAACTTCACCAGCACCTCAATTTTTTGGGATTGTCTGGTCTTCTACTTGTGGTACTGCTCCTCTGGGGTTACTTTGTTTCAGCCGTGGGGAACCTGTGCTTCTCCTGATACTGTTGGACTCCAGCTCCCATTATCCATAGCCAGTATGCCCAGGGATGACGGGATTTGTAGTCCACAAACATCTGGAGGATTACAGGCTCTCCATTCCTGCTTTATTTGCTTTTAGGGGTGTCATTTTGGCAACTCTAACATAATTTGCTGTTGGAGTGGGGAAAGAAGGATGTACATCTATGGACTAATTGCTAAAAGAATATGACATTTGTTTTATAGGAACACAGGAAGCTGCCGTATACAGAGTTAGATCATTGGTGCATCTACCCAAGTTCAAGGTTTGGGTACTAACATATGCAGGCCCTATGCAGCTCAGAACTAGGTTACTTGAGAGACTGCAATGTAGAGGTGACCATGGTCTTTGGGACTTTAAGCATGGTTTGCTTAAAGTCCCCAAAATATTAGAAGCCTACTCCACAGTTTTCAGTGGCTGCCCCGTTCTGTGGAACAGCAGCCCTGCTGAGTTACACCATAGGCACCCACTCTCTGGAAACAACCAAAGACATGTTTGTTTCAACAAGCTTTTCCAGCTGGATGAAAAGGTTTCTGACTTAGGTGTGATTCCCCCCCAAAAAAACTATCTATAGCCATTTTTAATGGCATGTTTGCAAATTGCCTTCAGACATATGTAAAAGGTGATTCATTAAGTAACAACAGCAGCAACTCAGTACTTGATGGCAATACATCTTCAGGTTTTTCAACAGGGAATGGAGATGCTGGGGTTCAAACCTGGGGATCTTTCTGCATGCCGAGTGGGTGCCCTACTATTGGGCTCAGCTCTTCCTCAGCTCTTTGCAGAACCTGCTGTCAATTTACATTCCTTTATGTTCTACTCATCTATTTCCAACCTACCTAGCAAAGAAAGGCACTCAAGACTCGTGTTTTCCTCACAAGCTTTTAGTTGCTGATTGTCATTATGATTTTTGATAGGCTCCTGGTGCTGCTGTGTTCTTGTTCCGTTGATGCTGCTATTTATTTCTGTACAGTGGACGCTCGGGTTGTGAACGTGATCTGTGCGGAATGCACAATCGCAACCTGCAGCGTTCGCAACCCGCAGCTGCGCACGCGTGGGTTGCGATTTGGCGCTTCTGTGCAAAGCGCGATTAAGTGCTTCTGTGCATGCGCGACTGCCAAAACCCGGAAGTAACCCATTCCAGTACTTCTGGGTTTTGGCGGGTCCGTAACCCAAAAAAACGCAACCTGAAGCGTTTGTAACCAGAGGTATGACTGTATTTTATTCATTTCTGTTGCATTACATGGAGTTTGTTAGCCACTTTGAATGTTTCCTATAGACAAGAGGCTTGCCAAAGCCACTGAAATAAACAGGCTCCTTGTAAACTGTCCCCTCTCTAACAGTAAAATAGAGTGGCTGAGTGTGCCGAACGGCTAGTAAGCAAAACAAGGCCACCCAAATTAAGGGGGCGGTAAATACAAAGACAGAAGACTGGAAATTTAAACAAAAATGTGAGACTTCCCCAAACAGCCTGACAAGTATTTCTGAACCAGCAGGTGTCAAACTGTGATGTATTAGTAGAGAAAATAAAATGAAATGAATGGGGTGGTTCGCTGCCTCTGATGTAGACCATGATGAGCCAAGTGGACCAATGGCCATAGAGAAAGGGCCTTAACCAAGAGGTAGAGCCTCTGCCTTGCAGGCAGAAGATCCTAGGTCCCTGGTATCTTTAGGTAGGGCTGGGAGAGACTCCCTGCCTGAAACCCTGGAGAGCCACTGCCAGTCAGTGTGGGCACTTCAGAGCTAGAATGCAAGATCTGACGAAGTATTAGGCAGCCTCTTCTTGTGCTTTCGTAGCTGGACTGCAGCTGCAGAAAGACAGTTAAAGGGAAGATGTGAGCTTTGACTTTGGAAGTTTCCTTGATAGTTTCTTCCTTTCTTTTTCTTTCCAAGATTCAATTAATTGGAGCCCCCAGAGCAGAGATTTCTCCCTCCCTGCACCGCCTTTCTTAGAAGGGTCACATGGAGTACAGCTGCCCAGGGGAGGAAGGGGCGGGGGTGCCCACAAGTGCCCCCCCCTTGCAGGGGAAGCTGCTGTGGAGGAGCTGACAAGGCTGTCAGGGAGGCAAGCCCCCTCGGGATCTCCCCCACTCCCAATTTCCCTGCCTCTGTGCCCCTAATTGGCTAATTAGTGCTTGCTTTGTTTTGAGCTGGTGCTTTCGGATGAGAGGCTGGGGACTCTCAGGGAAAGAGACAGATTGTCACACTGCCCTCCCACACGTTTGATCCGTCGCCTGGCCCTGCTGTGCAGAGCGCAGCAGCCGAGGAGTGTGGGGCAAATGACAGCAGGGCCCAAGCCTCTTCTGCACATGCAGTAGAATAGTGTGGGGCAGTGGAGTGGTGGGACTGTAGAGTCCCAAGGGGATGGAACAAACTGCGCCGCTTCAGGGTTCCTGACAGGGCCTCAAGTTCCTGCATGCTCCCCTATGCTACTCAATGCTCCTCGCAAGTAGAAAATTAGTGTGCCAGGGACATAGCTGGGTTGGATTCTATTTCCCTGAGGCGCTAGCTTTTTTTACTTGCACTTTGGGTTTTTTTTGGGGGGGGTGGAGGTGGGGAAGAGGCATTTCAATATAGCAACCCCCACTTACTGTGTGGAGCAGTATATATAGTTCACCCCATCAACTCAATAATTCCTCCAGCTCATTCCGCCCCATGTGTAGACAGGACTTCAGACAGCTATCCAGGGCACTGACTGAGGTGATAATTCTTCCTTAGGAAGAACTCTGAGGTGATAGGATGTCTGAATGCTTTGACATGGTACGGCACTAATGTGTCACTATGTAAACCCTTTGCACCTCCTGAACAGGGACAGCTGATAAAATACGACTCAGGAGTCTAGTCACGCAAAACCACACGCTAACCAAATTCACCCACAAAGAGCATCCGGAAAGACCATTTTAAGAGAGCACAATATAACACAAAGAGGTGGGGGGTCCTACCAGTGCCACCCACAGAACCCCCCTTTTTGTTTTAACATTGAGCTTGCTGGAAACCACAAGAGGGGAGAGTGCGCTTGAGCTCAGGTCTTGCTTGTGCGTTTCCCACAGGGGCCTCTGGTGGGCCATTGTGAGAACAGGATGCTGGACTACATGTGCCATTGGCTTTGTTCCTGCAGGAAGTTCTTATGTCCCTTTTATTGTGCATTAACAATGATTTGTTCTCGAGATGCTATCAGAGGGGTCAAACATGATCGCGCTTTCAGTATTATTTGCACCTGTAAATGTTTGGGGGCAATCACACTGCTTCAGTGCATATCCCATTAACTTCCGGCTTGAATTTTTCAACTTTTCATACTACAAAAGTTCTGGTTTATTTTCATCCCGCTTTTGTTGTATCACAGCCCCTCTGGTGCTAGCATAGAGGAAGTGTTGCAGGACAAATGAAAGCTATTCCATACCTGCCTGCTCAGAAGAAAACCCCATTAAAAGCCAATGTGGTGGCTAGAGTTCAAAAGCAGGGCAGTGGAAACCCAGATTCCCATTCAGTCATTAACCTCACTGGATGGCAGGGCCATCAGCAGTGAGGGCAAGCGCACTGTGGCAGAGATGCAAGAGCAGGGCCGGGTGGGGCGGATCTGCTACCCAAGGCAAATGGCTTCACCTCGCCTTGTGGGATGCCCCTGCTGGATAATACATATACAGTACACTGTGGACTTGATGCAACACAGCTTGCCCAGCAAAATGCACTCCCCCTGGGGATTCGTCTGACCCTCCCAAGCAAATTGAGGGTGGCTGGGGTGGGGGGAGCATGAAGGGAAATCCCATTGCACTGGCTTCTGCTAGTGCAATGATTTACTTGAATACAGCCCCAATACATTTAATGCACATGGTTTCCCCCCAAGGAATCCTGCAAACTTAAGTTTACCCCTCACAGAGCTACTGGCCCTGGCACCCTTAAAAAACTAAAGTTCCCAGGATCTTTTAAAGAAGCCATGTGTTTTAAATGTATGGTGTGTACACAACAACTGAACCTACCTCACAGGGTAGTTGTGAAGACAGAATGTTGAGGGAGGAGAACCTTTGTTTCACTGGATGAAAGCTGTAAATATAAGAATGACAGGCTTTGGAATAGAGACACAGAGGATTGCAGCCTTTGGCAGCCTTAGCCCATTAACCATAGTTTTCATTAATCAAACCTGTCTAAGGTTGTGTTTGATTTAAACAATAAGAGGGTGTCTGCCATCCACTAATTTACAAACAAAAGAAAAATAAATAACTTTTTTAAAAATGCAAAAATAAAACATCTGCTGTCCTAGCAAAATATTAGATCAAAATATTTAACCGTCAACCAGTCTCATAGATACATTCATTCTACGTTGCAACTTCCTTAAAATAAACAGGGAAGTCAAACTGCACATTGGTTGGTGAAAAGCCTTCTACGACCTGTAGTCCGATTTTTTGAACAACTCCCAACAGGCGCTGTAAACACAGCCAATAGGCATTATAGTAACGGTAGTCCGAAAGGTCTGGTGATCGCTACGATAAGGAAGGCTCCACAACCCGATGCACGTTTCACCGGGGAGTCAGACCCACTAAACTCAGCGGGGCTTACTCCTGAATAGACACGTATCGGATTGCACTCTGATGTTGCGATCCTATGCACGCTTCCCAAGATTAAGTCCCACAGGATTCCCATGGGGCTTAAAGCTGAGTAAATAATTGCAGCCTCACTACCAAAATAAATAAGGAAGTTCATTTGCAAATTTATACAGATGTACTGTAATTGGTGAAAACCCTGTGATCAATAGACTTCACTCACAACCTTATCCATTTCATTACTTTCTCTCTCCCCCCCCACTTTTTTTAGTAAATAAGACATATACATCGCTCAATTAAACAAACAAACCTCCAGGCGGTTTATATAAAATCTAAAATATTCATAATAATATGCCGATAAAACCAACACTTTCGAAACGAAACTCAGTGGGATTTTATCTTTCAGCAGGCACGTATCCGATTGCATTAAAACGTAGATAGCCCTGTCGACCCGTTAGAAATATTAGATATCATCTGAATTATGGAAACAATTCAGTAAGGTGGTGGTACGTTTGCACTGCGAGGCTGTGCGATAGGGAAATGACTTAATAGCGGCGCCGCGGAGAAGAGGTTCCGAGGCTCAGCCAGCTCCGCCCGGCGGAGCCCCGGTTCCAGCGGCCGTTTCGGGCTCGGCTCCGCTTCCTCTCGGGTCGGCCTGGCCTCCTCCTCCTCGAGGGCCGCCAATGAGCGCCGGCGGGAGAAGCGCGGCGGCCAATGGAGCTGCGGCAGGAAGCGAGCGCCACGGCCGGGGAAGGAGGCGGCGGCCAGGCAGGGCGCACGGCGGCGGCGCGCCGGATCAAGTTCAAGCAGGGCGGGCGGGCGGCCTGGCTCGGTGGCGGCGGAGGTGAGTCGGGGGTCGGGGAGCGGCGTCGGGAGCAGGAGGGGAAAGCAGCCGGCGCCCTCCGTGCGCACTCGCGTTGGACCCAGGCTTAGGGTCCCCGGCCAGGTGTCTCCTAGTTCCGGGGTGCGCAGGGTGGGGGACCTGAGTGTGCTGAAGCCCAAGGAGGTTTTGTCTGCCGCTCCCATGGCATCGCTGTGGCCCAATAGCGATGGGAAATAGTTGGGCCTTAGGAGTTTGGCGAGACTCGAGTCGGTGGGTGTCTCGGAGGTGAGGTGTGTGCAGGGCCGGATTTAGGTTTGATGAGGCCCTAAGCTACTGAAGGTAATGGGGCCCTTTATATGTCCAGCTGTCCTTTGTTAACAACAGATTGCCGCTGTTTTTTGTGTTGAATATGCTATGTGGTAATTTAGGGACCTAATAGGTATCTAAAGCCATTTGCACATAACAAAATACGTTATCAAAGTAATTTAGGGAGCAGGCTAGCAGGCGGGGCCCATTACTTACATCATAGGAGCCTACACAACACAAAACACTGTTGCTGTATGTAGGTTTTATTTTATTTGCTTTTTATCTTATATTTTGGAAATGTACATCCAGGTTTTTTCCCCTTTAATTTTTTTGGGGCCCCAAGAGAGTGGGGTCCTAAGCTATAGCTTGTTTAGCTTATATGGAAATCCAGCACTGGGAGTGTGTGTAGGGGAGGTGGATTCAGATGGCGCTGAAACACTTTGGAAGTGAGCAAGAAGCTCCTCTGCTGACCTTGTCAAGTCCTTTCTCCTCCCCTGCAGGGACAACTGCAGGGTTGGGGTTCCCCTCCTCCCCGCTTCCCACCCAGAAGTCCTGGGGTGGATGAGGTTGGACTGGAAACCCCTCACTCCTGTGGCTCAGAAGCCTGGCCACTTTAATCTGGCAACCCTGAGAGATCGTTGGATTGAAGAATGATTTTAACTGTAGCTGCTTTTTTTAATAGAATATTTTAACTGTTCTAGAATGCCCTTTGCCTTGTTTTTGTATTGTGTGCCTCCCTTGGGGAGGAAGGGCAAGATAATAAATTCAGTAAATAATACCACAAGTGCATTTAAAGTGCTATGATGCCACTTTTTATTTAAAAAGTTATGGCTTCACCCAAAGAATTCTGGGAATTGTAAGGAGTTGTTAGGAGATCTCAATCCCCCCCCCATTCCCCCCACATAGCTGAAATTCCTAGAGTTCCCTTTGAAGAGGGATTGACTGTTAAACTGCTCTGGAAATTGTAGGTCTTTGAGGGGAATAGGGGGTCTTCTGGCAACTCTTAGCACTCTTCAAACTACAGCTCCCATGATTCATTGCAGGGAGCCATGACTGTTTAAAGTGTATCATAGTGCTTTAAATGTGTAGTGTGAATGTGGCCCCAGAGTTATCTGGAAGGAAAGGCCTTCTACTGAAACAGTGAGCCTTGACTCAAGTTAAGGGGAAGAATCCTGATAAGCCTTAGTAGGACAGAGTTCGCTACCCTAATGTAAACTTGTGGAAATCAATTCAACTCTGTCCCACAAAACTGTAGAGTGCTTAAATTTTTGGTGGTAAATATTTTACTCCTAAACAGTAAATTTCTTTGGTTAAGTAAGCATGTTGCTGCCGCCTTCTAGGGGAATCCTAAACTGGCAGAGTTGAGAACCAGTGTAAGCTACCAAAAGATCTAATCAAGTGTGTGTGTGTGTGTGTGTGTGTGTGTGTGTGTGTTTGATTGATACTTGAGGATTAACATATCTGAATGTGTGAACAGCCTTCTTGAGAAGAGGTGGGGTTGGCCAGGGGCCAGCCAGATGCTTCAGACCAGCCCAGAAGGAGGGCAGGAAGATGCATTGAACAGCTTCTGTATGTTTGTGAATTACGAGTTATGCTGGAGATGGTAATTCTGCTCTAGATAAATAAATTCATTTTTATTTCCAGCTCTTTGCAAACTGCGAGGCCAGGGTGGGTGACAGCACTTCAAACAGTGATCCAGTAAAAACAACAAGAGAGTCTTGTGGCATCTTAAAGGCTTAATTGTATTATCAGTCTCAATTATCTGAGTGCCAGATAGCCATACAGGCAAATGACACCATCCACATGCAAGACGGAGGGACTAAGTTTTCAGAAGAACAAAAAAAATAGAGGGGAAAAACCATGGGGAACGCCCCCCCCCCCCAAGTAGGGCTGAACATGCTCAGTGGGCATGGAATGCTGGCTGACCATTGAGGGTGGAAAACTGTAAAGGAGTGGGGATAGAATATCCTGGAAGAAGATGTAGCTCTCCACAGTGCAACCTTTTGTTGCAGGTTCATTTGTAGAGTTAATTTTTTTAAGGAGCAATCAGGCTGTCCTTGTTTGTCCTACTCCTCTGGAATCCAGCTCTGACCATAAAAATACCCAGTGATCTCTGAAAATGGCTGCTCAGCCCCTGCTATTAAAAGCCAGCACCAGGAGTACCACCAAAAAGTATTCGTAGAAATTGCTTAAGCTCTGATTCCTTTTACGTCTCAGAAGACAGGATCTGGTAAGAACGCTTAACTCACATGCTCTCCTTTCATGTCCGCAGGACCCGCAGGAGCCATGTGGCCAGTTCTGTGGGCAACAGTGCGGGCCTACGCCCCTTACGTCACCTTCCCTGTGGCCTTTGTGGTTGGGGCGGTGGGCTACCACCTTGAGTGGTTCATCCGTGGCCAGCCACCCCCTCAGCCACCTGAGGATGAGAAGAGCATCTCGGAGAGGCGCGAAGACCGCAAGCTTCAGGAGAGTGCAGGAAAGGACCTCACCCAGGTGGTCAGCCTCAAGGACAAGCTGGAATTTGCTCCCAAAGCTGTGCTCAACCGGAACCGTCCTGAGAAGAACTAGCAGAGCTGTCCTGTTTGACGGGTGGGGCTTTTGATTGGTTCCATGCGGTCTTGATTGTTAGTTTCCTGGTTTTGTCATTTTTTGAGCCCACCGAACCCAGCCAATGTCTTCTCCGCCAATCTCGCCAGCTTCATCCTACTTTTGCTTCCATTGGAGGATTGCTAAAGCCACTGAGACCCATTGGAGGTGGAGGGCAGACTTTGTGACTCTGCACTTCTTGCCTTTGGCAGCAGAATGACCAATTCTCCTTGGAGGTTATCGGCCAAGAGATGGAACTACCCCTGCAGTCTTTGGCGAAGGTTCAGCCAGGACAAGGCAGGATCCCCTCTCTCTTGCCATATGCTGGCAGAGGCAGGATTTCACTTTAAAAGAGCACCTCTGAAATATGGTACCACCATCCCCTCAAGTAGGGGAGATCCCTTGCTTTGGTGGCCTTGGAGACCGCTACCACCTTGCCCCAATTCTTGGTTTAGGATGAGTGACCTTAAAGATTGTTCAAGACTTCTGGGTGCTAGAGGAGCAGTAACTGCCACATGTCGTGGCAACTGAACTTCTCCACACTGCTGCTACTTGAGCAAAGATACATCTCTTTTCCCGAGCGATTTGGGGAGGTGTGTTTTTGTGTGTGTGTCTGCTGATTTCTTGGACATGGGCCTGCTGTTGAAACTGAAAAATAATAAAAAATAGTTTGAAAAATATCAGGTCTTTTCATTTCCTGTAGGTAGCTGACCATTGGCTGTGTTGGTTAAGGTTGATGGGAACTGCAGTCCTACTACATCTGGAGGGTCAGAGTCAAAGTAAAAAGCGCCATGTTAGGCGTGTGTGGGAGGGATGGGAAGAGAAGAAGGGAAGAGGGATAGTGTGGAGGTGGAGAAGCTGTGGCCCTTTAGGTCACTCCCAGCCAACATAGCTTGTAAAATGTGGAGGGCTACAGGCTTCATCCCTGGAGTGGAGCAAAGCAACTGTTATCCAACTGGGCTTTAGAAACTGGTCTGTTGCTCAAACAACTCTGTTTTATTTTATTTTTAAATCCCGTTACTTCAGTGACGCTTGCTTCCACATTGCCGTGCTTAGGGCCCTAGCCTCAATATTTTATGTTCTGCATTCATAATGCACATGAAGCTTGCAACGTTGATTGTGTTTTAATTAGTTTGTGGAAGAGTGGAGTTCTTCTGAGGGCTGTTGCGTGTTCATGCCACTTATGATTAATTTAATTAACAAATGTGATTTAATTATGTGTTAAGAACACAAGGAGAGCCTTGCTGGATGAGGCCAGTGGCCCATCTAAGGCAGCATCCTGTTCTCCAGATGCCCCTAGCCTAGGAAGCCAATAAGCAACAATGCTCCCCCTTCCTTTGTTTTCCAGCAACTGGTATTCAGAAGCGTTCTGTCTCCAGTAGACGTTGATAGCCTCATCTTCCACAGGTGTGCCCAGTCCTCTTTTAAAGCCATCTAAGTTGGTGGCCATTGCTGCTTCTTGTACAAGTGAATTCCAACTATGTGACGCCTTATGAAGAATGACTTTATTTAGCCTGCTCTTCTTCCTTCTTTCTAGAATGCTCAGAGCAGTTTGCAAGGAGCTCTCGGTGATCTCTGATTCAGTGTTTGCTGAGGTCCACACAGTTTAGCTACAGCCCTGCAGACTTTTTCACACATGGCATATAAGTGATCTGAAGAGCAAAGTAGAAGGCAGCCTCTAATGCAGGCTCCCTCAAACTCAGCCCTCCAGATGTTTTGAGACTACAGTTCCCATCATCCCTGACCACTAGTCCTGCTAGGTAGGGATCATGGGAGTTGTAGGCCAAAAACATCTGGAGGGCTGAGTTTGAGGAAGCCTGCTTTAATGCTTTGATCTCCAGCAGCTCGGCTCTTGCAGAGTTTGTCTTCACACACGGAGGAACTTGTGCATCTAGTTCTCCTTTGATGTAGTGGCAGCTTTGCAAATAAGGATGGCAAACTCCATAGCCTGTTGGCCCACACAGCCCTGTATTAATCTATAATCAGAACTGAATGGATATTTACAAGCCTGGTTCTCGGGGTGGCACTTGCACAACATATCTTAAATGACAAATAAACCGTACAGTGGTACCTCTGGATGCGAACGGGATCCGTTCCAGAGCCCTGTTCGCATCCTGAGTAGAACATAAGACACGACTGCGCGTGCGCGGGTCACGTTTCGCCGCTTCCGCGCATGCGTGTGACGTCATTTTGAGCGTCTGCACATGCGTGAGCGGTGAAACCTGGAAGTAACGCGCTCTGTTATTTCTAGGTTGCCGCGGAGCGTAACTTGAAAACACTCAACCTGAAGCACATTTAACCCGAGGTATGACTTTTCTTTGGAAAACCCACAAAAAAACTTTTCCAGGTGTTTAGGAGTGTGAAACTTTTCTCCAGCCCCAAGGGCCACATTTCATTCTAGACAACCTTCCAAGGGCCACATGCAAAAGTGAGTAGCTTTGGCTAGCAGCAAGAGCAGCACCTGTTAATTTACACTAACATCCTCTATTCTCCAGCCTGTCAAGGAAGAAGCACTATCAGAGTTCAGGGGCACATTCTAGCCTGGAGTGTGTAACATCGGGCTGGGGAGCGGTGTATGCCCTGGGAGGGTCCCAACAATCATATAGAAAGGCCTGGAGGGTCATATTTGACCTCCACCCTCATGCTTGGAAGTTTCCCATCCCTAATTTAAAAGAACTAAGCAAGGACAGACAAATTCTGCACAACCATTGATTAAAAAAAAACAAACAACTAGCAGAAAGCTCAGTGAGTTCAAAGGATCTGTTGTGTGTTAAGAGAAAAGGGAGAATTGACTGCAACTTTGGCCTCAGGGCTTCCCTGTCACCTCCTTTCTTCTACCCCAGGCTGTGTTTTTCTTTCCTGCTTCATAGAGATAAATCTGTTGCCTCCATATCGCAGCATCCCTCCTGCCAGCCTGCTTGCTCAGCTTACTTGGTTGCTGATGACAGATCCATTTCCTCAGGCCGTGCTCCAGGGTCAGAGGGCACCTTATTTCCTGCAGATGGGGGAAAGGCTTGAGCAGCCATGGCTTTATGATTAGCAGATTATGGCCTGTCACTCCTTCAGGGTGTAAGACGTGCTGTCCTTTGCACTGCCTTACACATAGGGGACCTGTGTAAACAAGAACTGCTGAGTGCTTTAAGCAATTGCTGGAGAGATTTAGGAGTCCCCAGAGGAAGGGAGACACTTGTTGATGTTAAAAATTAGATTGTTAATGGAGTTGGAGCTATTTTTCTGGAGTGACTCTTGCACTGGTGTCTGGATTTCCTGTGTCCATGCAAAGATTTTTTGCCAAGTTTTGCTAAGCATTTGCAAGAATGAACATTTTTGCTCTCTTTGGCTACTTGCTCCATATTGCTTGGTGTCGGCTGGTTGCCCCTTCACACACCCGATTTCTGAATTTCCCTATGCGTTTGCATGCTCTGCTCAACATCTGTCTTTTAAATCTGCTTTGGAGTAAACTGGCCCCCTTGCACAACAAGGTCAAAGAAATAGATCTGGAGCATTTGCGGCGTGAAAAGTTACTGGATATGTCCTGGCTGGAAACAAAATAGGTTGGCACGCTTGAAACGTTTGCAGGTGAAAACAGTACATTTATGTTCTCTCTTATTTGTGCATGACCACACATACCTCCGGTGCTGGAAGTGGATCCAGAAAATGGGGAGCCCCCTGGAGAGGAGTCCTGACTCGCAAGGAGACCCTTCCCAGAGTCCGAAGAAGATGTCCTCTTGAGGCTCTGGGGTCTCCTCATGAGCAGGAGGCTTCCCCATCTAACAGCTGGTATGTGGGGTAGTGCAGCAGCAGCCGCTTTCCCACCCATCAGCTGTGTGAGAGCCAAGCTGTCCCTCTGCTCTCGTGTGTGAGCTGCAGGAATAGTTTCTTCCTTGCCCATCAGCTGAGCTGATACAGGCAACTCCCGATTTTATGCGATTTCACGTATGCGCTCGGGGGTTGCAAAAATCACCAAGTGTTCCCAATAAGAGGCTCACCTGAAGGGGTCCACAAGCTCCAAGCCTTGGTTTGGACTTGAAAGTTGATTGGTGGCCCCAGGATTGTATCAAGAAATGGTCGCTGGAACCATCAGGCCCTGCCCCCCAGAGCTGACGCTTGCATAGCACATAGTTAAACTATGGAACTTGCTCCCATAGGAGGCAGTGATGGCCACCAACGTAGATGGCTTTTAAAAACGATCACACAAATTCATGACATGGGCTGCCAGGCATAAAAGGTTATGCCGTAATAAATTTGTTTGCTTTAAGGTGCTGTAGGACTCTTTGTTTGTTTTCCTGCAACAGATTAAACCTTTTTGAACTTTGTCCCATGTTGCTGTATAAGTCACTGTTCTATATCTGCCTCCTTTTTTTTTTGCAACGTCAAGAGAGAACAGTGACCTATACAGTGGTACCTTGGGTTAAGAACTTAATTGGTTCTGGAGGTCCGTTCTTAACCTGAAACTGTTCTTAACCTGAAGCACCAGGGCCTCCCGCTGCTGTGTGATTTCTGTTCTCATCCTGAAGCAAAGTTCTTAACCCGAGGTACTATTTCTGGGTTAGTGGAGTCTGTAACCTGAAGCGTCTGTAACCCGAGGTACCACTGTACAGGGATGCAACAGGCAGCAAAGGAAGATCACTTGGTTGCATCTCTTGAATGACAGAATGAGTCGATCACACCTAATGCAGAGAGGAGTAGAATTTGGCAGCCAGACCTAATAAGAGGAAGCTAGAGTGATGAGCTCATGCAAAAGACAGCATGTGGTCTCCAAGGAGCCCTTTGTTATTTAATTTATTCCTTGAGGCACTTGCAGTTCCTGCACAGTAGGACACCTCCTAACGACTGAGAATTTGCTGCCTCCAAGTGGACACTGCAGAGAATTTCAGAAACAAAATCTAAACTCAAGACTCAAGTGCACACCTATGCGTCTGAGTTCATACTGAGTTCAACAGGACTTACTGTCAGGTAAATATGCATAGGATTGTAGCAATAAATAAATCCCTGCAAAATTTGAACTTGTACTCATTAAATAACACCTGACAAACAGTGATACGCTTAAAAACTATTGAATAAAACGGGCATAGGCAAACTCGACCCTCCAGTTGTTTTTGGCCTACAACTCCCATGATCCCTAGTTAACAGGACCAGTGGTCAGGGATGATGGGAATTGTAGTCCAAAAACATTTGGAGGGCCGAGTTTGCCTATGCCTGGAATAAAAAGTGGACCTGCTATCTGACTATTCAGTACCCTCCACCCAAAGTGATGTGAAATACTTCGAACAACCAGCATGGCATTGTACTTTTTAACGTATTTGCATCCCACCTTTCCTCAAGGTGTTCTGCACACAGTCAATTATACACAACCTGAAATAATTTAGTGCAGGAGAAGCAGTGGTCTTGGAGTTCAGAGAGAGGAGGTTTTGTGCTGCTCCAGATGAATGCACAGTTCTTTCCTGCTGAGGGAAAAAAGCTCTCTTCTGCCCAGGTTCTTATCCTCTCTCCCCTAGGTCTCAGGGATTAGTTGTTCAAGCCTTCTTACTTATGCAGGACTGACTGAATATGTCATTTTCTCTCTCAGTGCCTAATTTTGGAATCTTAAGTTCAGTTCTCAACATTTCCACATCAGTATATGTATGTTTTAAAAGTTCCTCATGGAAATTCATCAGCAAATTTCTCCTTGATACACAATTTTGTATGCAATTTTCCCTATAGATACCTCTTTTACAAGAGATTTTCAACAATATGATGCATTTTTGTGTGCTCTCTTCACCAATATATGCATTTTAACACATGCTTTACCTAAATTATATGCATTTCTATACACATTACTTGGTTGGAGAACTGTACTGCAAAATTCAGAGAAATGTGAATTTTTAAAGATGGTTGAATTTTGGTTTGCATATTGTTTTGGAAAGGGCAAATATGGGAGGTACCACTTTAACTGAAAACTGAATCAAATTCCTCCCCCATCCCTGTTTCACACTGGTCCTGAAAGACCTACATTGGCTTCCAGTATGTTTCCGAGCACAATTCAAAGTGTTGGTGCTGACCTTTAAAGCCCTAAACAGCCTCGGTCCAGTATACCTGAAGGAGCATCTCCACCCCCATCATTCAACCTGAGGAGTGTATCCATCCCCACCATTCATCATTCAGACACTGAGGTCCAGCTCCATGGGCCTTCTGGCGGTTCCCTCAATGCGAGAAGTGAGGTTACAGGGAACCAGGCAGAGGGCCTTCTTGGTAGTGGTGCCCGCCCTGTGGAACGCCCTCCCATCAGATGTCAAGGAAATAAACAACTATCTGATTTTTAGAAGACATCTGAAGGCAGCCCTGTTTAGGGAAGTTTTAATGTTCGATGTTTTATTGTATTTTTAATAATTTGTTGGAAGCCACCCAGAGTGGCTGGGGAAACCCAGCCAGATGGACGGGGCATGTATGTATGTGTAAATAAATAATCTCTGTTATCCTGATCACAGGTCGTTAGCATGCAGCCAGAGACACATTTGTCCTAGAACACTGGTGATGGATTGTGTCTTGAACATGGGATGCTCACCTGGGCTGAGGTCACACTTGGCTGAGTGCTACTCCTTATCGCTCCAACAAGATTAGGCATCTTCAATTTTGATGTGCATCTTTGCCATGCTAGCTTCACTATGAAACTTGGTCTTCCAACACCTTGTGTTGCTTTTTGTCCTGGTTGCCAGAGTGCTCTTTTCCAAGCTAAACATGAAAGGCTGTTACTCATGGACAATAGTGCATAAATGTAAGAAATAAAAAACAGTTTTTACTTATGAGCTCGACTGAAATCCTTAAAGGCTTCTTATAAATGAAGAGCATATATGAGCCCAAACCACATAAAAGCATATGCACCTTATTCAAATGTGTAAGAAAGGCAGTAGATCTGGTTCTCTACCACGAGAATATTTTGGGCTACAACTCCCATCATCCTCAACCCAGTACAGCTGTGCTGGGCGCTAAGTTTGCCAAGGCCAGACTCTGTTTTTTCCCCCATCTAGCCTGAATCCGCTGCCAACCCATTTCATTGAATTGTTGAATCAAAGGATTCTCTTATTCACATGCCATCATTTTATAAACTTGCATCAGGCCATGTTACCTCCTTTCACCCCCACCCCAAAACACCTAAAAAGCTGCAAGTGTTTAAATAGCCTTTTCTAAGTAAGAAGGAAGTCCCTCCCCCACCAAAAGGAGGCAGTGTTTCCTGAGATAGGGAAGGGGAACATCCCATTTGTGTATGAGCCGTTATCTGCCTGTGCCTGCAGACTCGGGTTTTCTTGCTTCCCTTATCGGAGAAACCAGAAACAGCCAGCAGCTCCCAAGAACTGACGATATGAAGCTGCCACAGAGTCAATCCCAAGGCGGGATTTAACACCGTATTCTTTGGCCGCGGCATTCCAAGGCCTTGGGGAGACAGTCCAAATTTGCTACCTGACATCCTTCTATCTCAGAGCTGCATTCCCTCATGGGCGAACTTCTGGGGGCTTCTTGGCCACAGTAGGTGAGGCCAAAGGTTAAAGTGGGCGGAGCAATGTATGTGACTCTCCAGCCACCCCAAATCCCAAGGCTTCTTCACCCCCTCCTACACCTCTCTCTTCATCCTGGCAAGCAAGAGGCATTCTCACAGTTCAAGGACAAAGTTCAGCCAGGCGAAAACACTCAAGGAGGGCATGGAAGCAGGGCTGGTGAGAGGCGTAGCCTGGAGAGTGCATCCCAGCAACCATCCATTTTTCTGTTCCATAAGCTACTGAAGAGGCGTTGCTGCTATGGACAAATTATGGATAAATTTTCCAACATAATTCACCATCCCCCAGAAATCTCTGGATGTCCTTCTTTGAGCCCCTTGTGTAATAGTCACTGTCTGAGGACATGATCTTTGATACCACAGATAATTCTGTCCCTTATCAAACTCTCTCTCTCTAGTCAGCAAAATGACAATTCTTACTCAAGCTTCTTAATTCGGTTCTTAATTTATCAGAGTTTGGTCTACTTTTTGTATGCACCTAAAGAACTTATTTGAGTCTCATTCTTTTTAGGCATGCAGTGTTCTTCAAACTTGGGATGCGGGTGGTGCTGTGAGTTAAACCACAGAGCCTAGGACTTACCAATCAGAAGGTTGGCAGTTCGAATCCCCGCGACGGGGTGAGCTCCTGTTGTTCGGTCCCTGCTCCTGCCAACCTAGCAGTTCGAAAGCACGTCAAAGTGCAAGTAGCTAAATAGGTACCGCTCCAGCGGGAAGGTAAACGGCGTTTCCGTGCGCTGCTCTGGCTCGCCAGAAGCAGCTTAGTCATTCTGGCCACATGACCTGGAAGCTGTATGCCGGCTCCCTTGGCCAATAAAGTGAGGTGAGCACCGCAACCCCAGAGTCGGTCACAACTGGACCTAATGGTCAGGGGTCCCTTTACCTTTATTCTTCAAACTTATCAATAATTGCTTTCGGTTTCATACTCTTTCCTCCAGCCATCCCAAACTCTCTGTTCTACATGAAAAAAAATGGAGAATTTGATCATATCCGGGGGTTTTTTCCTTCAGCCCCTGTTGCTACCAGGTACAATCCAAACCTTTGTCGAAGCCTCCTCCAGTTATTTGCAATATCATCTGACGATTTCAGGCTTGATGGAAGCTGCAGAAGTTCCATTTTTGCAAAGATTTACCAGCACCTATATAAACCTTGTTGTTTTCTCTTGGTGTGATTCCCACAGCTTCTTATCTTCTGCAGTATCTGGAACCCCTCAGCCAGGAAACCTCTGCCAGTTAATACAACATAATCACCATTCTCCACTTTCTCACACCATGTAAAATTTCTAAGTTGAAGAACAAGCACCAAAAATGAGGAATAGTTAAAAGAAAGAGCTATATGCAACCGAGCCTCTAATACTCTGCTGGAAGTGAAACTAAAGGCCCAAACGAGGTGCCCAGGTAATGTGACTCCAGGGCAAATGCTTAAATTGCCAATTCCTTAACACTAAGGGAGTGTCAGCAAATCACAAGCTCTATCATTACGGTACGTAGGTGTTTGAGATGAAGGAGCTGGAAGAGCCAAACACTTATTTTTATGATTTTCAGTTGTTGGCAAGGTCTCCAGTTTACTAGCCAAAATAGTTTGGGAGGCTGCCCAGACGCAGTTAGCATGACCACTTAATCAACTCAAAATAGCTGTTGTTCGTCAGCCTGCTCCATTCTCCCTTGCCTAAGCTTCCACGGGGAAGATGGTATTTGCACACTCCACAAGGCACTGGCCTGTCTAAGCTGCAAAAACTATTGCACAAACATGCTATCCATTTCCTGTCCTTGAACCATCTGCCTAAAATACACAGAGCAGCTGTGCATGCCTAGTTTCTAAACATCAACAAATGCCACAAGGCCAAAGCTCCCTAAACCAGATGTGTGGAGATTGGTTGTGGTTACTTAGTGGGGAGGGCAGTGCATCCTCTGCACATGTGCAGATGCACTCTTGCATGCAGTTATCCCGTTGTAGAAAATAACACCCAGGGCTGAATATCAGTGAGTTCTGGCTCAGATTACCCGCAAACGTATCGTGGTTTCAACTCTTTCCTCTCTGTCCTTCCCCCAGGACTCAGTTTGAACCAAGGTTTTTAATTCTGGAACTGGATTTCAGCCATGCCACATGCCTCTGAGCATGTGCAGAGAACCCCATCTCCCTTATGAACAAGCAGCCATGCACAGCAGTGGTATCTGGTGCCCGTTGGGGCTGGCAAAGCAGAAGGCAGTGAGATCAACAGTAGGTGGCGCCAAAGCCAGTGACAGGCAGAGCCACCCTGTGACTGGTTGTAAGGAAAAAGGCAAGGAAATGTGGGCAGCCTGAGAGTAGACTGAGGCTGGTAGGGCAATACCCCATTTGCCCTAATGGACCAGCTTCTGTTGAATGAACAGCCTCCATGGATTTTGGAACTGAAAATCCAGGGGGAGAAGAGATTTTAGGTGGAACTGGACCCCGGCACCTTCCCAGCTCCACTTTAACCACTGTACTCTTTCCCTATAGCTTTGAAAAGCTGGTATCACTGGATCAAATTCATCAGTTTTGTTGAACTAATTAAACTAAATAGTTTTAACTGGATTTTGAATAAATGCGCAATTAAGTGTTGCTGTTTTGAATTCTATTTTATTATTATCTTTCTTAGTGGGTTGTGCAAATCACTATTCTGAATAGTGCTTTTTATAGGATAGGGGGGCACTGGGGATGAGTTTATGGAACAAAGGGGACAGTGGCCCAGAAAAGTTTAGGAACCACAGGGCCTGAATCTCCTTTTACTCAAAGCTCAGAAGAGCACCCCCAGTGGTGAAGCTGAGAGCTGCATTGGACAAAGGAGAAGCTGGTCTGTGTTTGGGGGTTTCCGTTCCCTTTTGCTCAGCTGGGCCTTCAATTAACTGAGTGGCTTGTTTCCTTTTCCTCAATTGACGTGACCCTTGTGCATTGTCAGGACAGGCAACAATGAGTTGTTTGCGGTAATGAATGTTATTCTTGATGGGACAAGACAGGTGCTGAACGACACTCTGATGTTTTAACAGAGTGGGGGAGTCAGTAGGCCCCTGACTCCGAGGACCTTGCAAACCCAATGCACTTGCAATAAAGGAAAGCCTGGTGGTACAGCATCTGCTTTGTGTGGCAAGCAGTCTCCAAATTAGTTCATCTTATCATTTCCTTCTGCTGCCATCAGGCTTCACGTCAAAGTGCCCCACCCAACTAGTCAGGTGCCTGAGGCAAACCACACAAGCCCACATCACAAGGTTGTTGTGAGGTATCTCACCAGGTTTGGTTCCCTGGTCTGCTGTGTCCTGCCTCTTAGTTCCCAGGCTCTACCCACTGCACCTCAGCCTCAGAGTACCACCAGACTTGGTAACCCCAGCACTGGGCCCGCTGGGATGCTCAGGGGTCCTGTGTCAGGTGTGCCAATGCAAAAACAGAAAGCACCCCTCCCCCGTTTGTGTGTTAGAATCTGACTCCTGCCTTGATGTGCCCATTTCTGTTGCTGCTGGGGGGAAGGGTGCACCCATCAACACTGGTTGAGGATGGAAGAGGCAGTGGCTGCCCTTGGAATAAAAAATAAGGATCTTGCAAAAGTGTCCCTAATTTCATCTTGGAGGAAATGAAAATGCTGCCTGCCAGCCAGCAGTCGGTTCTGGTCTCCAGAGCTAGGCTCACCCTCCCCTCCACATATTTTCCTTCCCTCTAGAGACAGCTGCACCCAGCCCAGGGGCCTCTCATTGTGAGACTTATCGGGGCTCTGCCAACAATTGGCAGTTCGGGAAAGCAAAGGCCCAAACAATCCGGGAAAGCAAAGGCCTGAACAATAAGCGAAAGCGAAGGCTCCAACAATCCCCTTTCCCCCTTCCGCTGGGGAGCGAGGGTTAAATATAACGTTGCGGTAAGATGGGGGCGATCTCAGACAATGGGGAGTCCTGAGGTCTGGCTGGGCCAGAGGCTGCTGACAAATGTGTATGAACAGCCCGGCCAAAGGAAGCCTCCCTCAATAGTTACTTGACAACTTCCTGTATCCTGACATTGTCACCCACCTCCAGACACACTTCCGCGGGATCCTTCATGAGACAGGTCTGGGGGCTTGGTGTCACCACACTTGGACTCACCTCCCAGCCACCCCTTCTCTGCCCAGTGACATAACCTGTCCTGCCAATGGGTATTGTTACAAAACTCGTGTGCCTCCCCCTCTCTTTTTGCTGAGCCATAGCAAGAATCCAAGGGGTTCCAGTCACTCACACAGGGTCTGTGTTCCTCTGGAGAATTGAGACACGGCGGAGACTGTCATAGCTTTAAGAAATAGGGCTTATTCACCTATTTACACATTCGGTCTGCATGGAGGGAGTCCAGATTTTACAGCATGGTCATTTCTCGCACTGCAGCACAAGGGTGTGCAGTATGGTGATTTTTTCAGGGGGGAGGGTGATATAGCTCCTTGCCAAGGGGGCAAGGGATCCTAGGTGCGCCTCTAGGTGAGCACTGCAATCTGTGTGGCCTGTCGGAGAATCACAGAATTGAAGAAATGGGAGGGACACCAAGGGTCATCTAGTCCAACCCACTGCAATGCAAGAATCCTGCCCACAGTCATCCCTGGATGGGCTCAAACCACCAACCTTCTGGTTAACAGCCAGATGCACTGACCCATTGTGCCACAAGTCTCTTTAACAATAATAACAAAATAAGTTTCTGAAAATAGTTGCATTCTCTGATCTAGCCGTATAATTTAATTGTTGATTTCTGTTGGCCCCCCCCGCCCGATGGATAAATTGTTAATTAATTAAGAAGGAGGAAGAGGAGAACAGATACAATTTAGTTACACATTTTGTAAATAAGATTATTAAGTTTAAAGAATATGTATTATTGTATTTAGCCCAAGAACCACGAGTTAAGTGGCTAGTGGTGGCATTTATACATACATACATACATACATACATACATACTTTTATTACATGCCACATTTCCACAGCTCAAACCATACTCAAGGCAGCTTACAACATGAAAAAATTACTTAACTGCAACATAACCAAAGTAGTCATAAATGAAACATTAAAAAATACACGACCAAACCAAACAATTTCCACAAGATGTGAAACAAAGATACAAAAACCCAGAGCAACAACAGCAACAACCCCCACAAACACCTCAGCCCCTCCCTTATCGTTTCCTTTCCCCCCTAATGCTTCAATAATTTATTTTCTTTGTTTTGCTTTTATTTCTCTTTGTGTACATAAATAAAAGTGAACATGGAAGATCAGAATAGTTGTTGGGTAAGCAATATTAAGAACTCACACTCAAAAACCCCCTTTAAACGGTATGTCCGTTGTGTCTCGTTTCCTGGTTGCCAGAAATGAGATGCATCAATGGAAAAGGGAGTCATGTGGAGGCCACCAGGGACTGTGACAGGAAAAGGGGACAAACTGTAAGCCAGATTCCCACGGTGTCGGGGGAAAGGGCAGAAAAGGAGCATGAGAGGGGAGGGGGGAAGCCACGAAGCGGAGGGAGGGACAGTGTATCCCCCTGGGAATTCAAGAAGAATGTGATTCTGGACTTTCTTCATCTGTAGCATAGCTCTTTCTTTGCTTGACGTGGTGCTTCCATCTTCTCATAACAACCTAGGAGGAGCCTGGCCACTGGATCAGGCCAAAGGCCCATTTAGCACAACATTCTGTTCCCACAGGGGCCAAGCAGAAGTCCCACCTGTGTTCTTTAGTGTTTATTCTTAAATAAGTGTCTTTAGGACTGGCATAGGGTGGTCTTATCCCCCTTTCTTTAAAATAATAATAATAATCATGTGGGGACAAATGAGAATCTTTTCATCTATCAACTGTATATAAACTATTTCATTTGCAACAAAATGAAACACAAAATCTTTCATAATAATAATAATAATAATAATAATAATAATAAAAAAAATTTATTTATACCCCCCCATCTGGCTGGGCTTCCCCAGCCACTCTGGGCGGCTTCCAAAAAAATATTAAAATACTGTAATACATCAAACATTAAAAGCTTCCCTAAACAGGGCTGCCTTCAGATGTCTTCTAAAAGTCTGATAGTTGTTGTTCTCTTTGACATCTGGTGGGAGGGCGTTCCACAGGGAGGGCGCCACTACCGAGAAGGCCCTCTGCCTGGTTCCCTGTAACTTGGCTTCTCGCAGTGAGGGAACCACCAGAAGGCCCTCGGCGCTGGACCTCAGTGTCCAGGCAGAACGATGGGGGTGGAGACGCTCCTTCAGATATACTGGACTGAGGCCATTTAGGGCTTTAAAGGTCAGCACCAACACTTTGAATTGTGCTCGGAAACATACAACGTACAAAATGTTGAAGGAAGGCTAGAAATTTGGGGACATTTGTCTCCTTCCAGAGAATTTTGTTGTTTTACTTGGTTTTTCTGTTAAGGGATCTAAACTAGGAACTGAGGTCTTAGTGGAAAATCTTTCACCCCCTCGGAGCCTTCTTTGGAGTACAGCCAGCCTTCTAGAATTCCACTGGGAAAGAGAAGACTAGATTGCATAATAATTCAGCCTCCTTTTCTGTGGCTCTAAATGCTTGCATGTATTTTCGTTGATGGAGGTACGAAGGAAATTCTAGGGCAGTCGTTTGGAAACTGTCTCAACTCTGTTTCCCAGAGCCACACTAGTATGACTTGAGAGGAAATATATTAATGAAGTGCTGCTTTTAAACTTTAACATCCCGAATGGCCTGGAACCTGGGTACACCAATATCTTCTATATTTTCTTGCCCATATGCTTCATGCAACATCTGAGGCCTTGCTCCAGGTTCCACCAGGATGATCCTACTTTGCAGAGAAGAGTCCTCTATTTGAAAGGGTCTCCAGTCCAAGTCTGCTTTAAAGATAAAGTAAAGCACAATGAGGGGACACAAAGCAGTTTTAACAAGGAGAAATGGCACTGAAAGGTGCAACACAGACGCCAACACCATAAAGCTAATGCAACAAAACCTCTCTCAACTCCCTTCCCAGTGTACTCAACACCCCCTCTCAGTTGTACCTCCTGCTCACTATACTCAAACCCCTGCCATTGTTTAAAATCATTTTTGGCCTCTCATTTTTTCAACATTTCTGCTTTATTCAAACCTCTTATTTTAAACCTCAATTTTCCTCTGTATTCCTCCATCCCTGCTTTACTCAAACCTCTGTTGTAGGAAAACAAAACAAAACTATTTTCTTCTCAGTGTAGGTTAGTAGTGGAGCTGTAGGTTAGTAGTAGAGCTCATGCTTTGCATACAGAAGATTCCAGGTTCAATGTCAGCCATCTCCAAGTAGGGCTGGGAAATACTCCTGTCTGGCACCCTACTGCTGCTGGTCAGTGTAGACATTACTGAACTAGATGGATCAACTTGGTATAAGGCAGCTTCCTGTGTCCCAATGACTCCCACAAGTAGTTTCTGAAGCTCTGTTCATGTATTCTGTGAAATTCCTGGCTCGGGTGATAGGGATGGTGCCTGACATCTCAGCTCGCAACTTCTACTTTCTACTGAAGCTCTAAAGAACTAGACATTGTGACCAGACTCTCAGCATTTTCCCAGGGCTGCTCTAAATTGCTAGCCTACCTGGCTTAACCTGGTACTCCCTGTGGCTCAGTGCCGACAGTCCCACCCCACCCCTTGCTTGGCAAAGGCATCCTGGCCTACTGCGAATTTACTTAGTGACAAATTTATTTCCTTTGTTTATTTAGATCACTATCTCTATAGTGCCATATCATTAAATGTCAGGGAGGTGTACAACTACAAAATGTAAAAACAAGACGAATCAAGACAAGATGTGATCTTTCCAATATCCACCCTTCTCGGTCCCTCAGAGGGAGAGAGAGGGAGTTGGTTTTGTGATTGTTGGTGGGATTTATTTTTAACCTAAACAAACAGTTTAGCAGAATATTTTGGTAACTGTCATTTCTGGAATTCACAAGTGCTGACTCTCAGGTCGCGGGAGAAGTGATGGAGGGGGGGGGAAACGAGTGTTTTAAAAAGGGACCACTCGGGAATGCTCTGTGGGAACAGAACATAAGTTTACGTAGGAGTCGCCTAAGGAATCAGACCAAATGTCCAGGAAGTCCAATATCCCATTTCCAGGAGTGGCCAGAGTGGTAGGGCTGGGAGAGGTGGGGCTGCCCTCCACACAGAAGTGTCCCTGTGGTTTACTGGGACAGTGCAGCCTTACGGGAAGGTTGTGGTGAGGGAGGGGCTACATGTGCACAGGAGCACCAGATTGGCTCTGCCAATGTGGCCTCCTCCCCACAGGCATGCCCTCACCACTGCCCTGGAAACAACAGCAATGCCGCTTTCCAGAGGGCAATTTTGCACCCTTGTACCAGCTGTTCCCGAGAGCGTCTGGACAAGCCAGGTGCCTCTGGGAAGCTAACCAGGAGAGTATTATGTCGGGGGGCTTGGTCAGCCTGGGTGATATCCTGGATCCCTTCCATGCCTGCTTAGAATCTAGAAGAGACTGCTCAGCCAGTTTTAAATAGTTGCTTCTAACTGTTAATGCTATATTCTCTTTGTAAATCACTTTGAGCGGCATTCACCTAACCAGCCCTATCAGTGGAAGCTCTTCACGAAGACTTCCACTTGCACATTTGGGTTTTCCTCCTCCTCCTCCTCCTTCTGCATGCCCTGGCACCCCTTGAAATGGGCTCTGGGCTCGGGTGAACCCCTAGAACAGCACACAAGGGAAAGAGAGGGGAGATGGTTCCATCCAACAAGTTGAAGTGCTTGCACAGATAGAACCAGTGGAAGAGAGCAATGTTGAATTCCAGCAATTTTCCTTAGTCTGCATAGATACATACAAATTAGCATGTTTTTCAGTTCTTTTTTATTTTTTTGTAGTAACACCCTAGAGCTGACGCACAAACATGCAGTTTTCTGTGCTCCCACAGAATTGTGGTGAATGCACAACCCTCTTCTGGGTTTTTAAACACTGCTGGGAAAACATGCCCATGGAAACAGTGGCAGAGGCAGGGGTGGCACTCATATTAGCCGCTTTGTCTTAGTCTCTTCCTTCCAGCTACCCATCTACTTTCGTAAGCAGAGAGTCCTTAGCTCACTGGTGGAGCTTGCAAGAAAGTCCCAGGCTGAATCCCTGAAAAAAGGGCTGGAAAAGGCTCCCTCTCTGAAACCTTGGAGAGCCTCTGCTAGTCAGTGTGGGCAATACTGAGTTAGATGGGCCATTTGCATGACTCAGTTTCCTGTGTTTCTGACCGAGAACAACTCTATCCCCCGCTTTTTTCTCTTTACACCAAGGAGCTCCGCAGCTGCTGAGTTGCAAGAGAATGGGTGTTTCGTCATCCTGCGTTTTTTCGTTTCTCCCAGCTGGTCTGCATTGTGATGGGCTGCTTTGTTCTCTCTGCTCCCCTTTTCTTTGCCTTATCGTGAAGCCGTTTCCTGCGGGTTCCGAAAAGAATGGGCAGCAAAGGGGAGTTTACCCAGTAGGTCCCACCCTGGCTTGCCGCACAAAAGGCCTTGTAATCATCATGGCAAACTTTGTATTGCAGAGAGTGGCGGGGGGGGGGGAGACAAAAAGAGAGACAGACAGAAGGAGGGGGGAAGGGAGAGGAGAGAAAATTGCGAGGGGGGGGGCGGAGAATACAGTGGTGCCTCAGGTTACATACGCTTCAGGTTGCATACGCTTCAGGTTACAGACTCCGCTAACCCAGAAATAGTGCTTCAGGTTAAGAACTTTGCTTCAGGATGAGAACAGAAATTGTGCTCCGGCGGCGCGGCAGCAGCAGGAGGCCCCATTAGTTAAAGTGGTGCTTCAGGTTAAGAACAGTTTCAGGTTAAGTACGGACCTCCGGAACGAATTAAATACTTAACCTGAGGTACCACTGTAATAAAATAGCACCAGTTAGAGGAAGATGGGGTGATTTGCATTTCTGCACACTAGCCTCATCATGGACAGCCTCACATAAATTTATTATTTTTTCCATTTGCCTCCTACCTAAGGAGCTCAAGCATCTCTTCTCTGCTCAGAGGCCTTGTAAGACTATCCCCTCATTCTAACTGCAATTTCTATCACATGTTTTTTAAAATCTTTTGTATTATATAGCATTTTCAATATGTGTATGTTTTATCTTTCTATCACATTGCATTTTAAACCATTTAACTTCTCAGGCATTTGGGAACGGGCTGTGTTTCTTGCTAAGGCTTTTAAATAGCGCTGTGCTGCTTTTACGATCTGCATTTTAATAGATTTGTTTTCTTAAAATATTGTTTTAACATCTACTTACTTTTTAACTACTATCTTTTTAAAAAAAGCTTTTTGTATTTTATCTGTGTTGTTTTAATTTGCGCAAGCTCCCTCGAGTCTCAGCCTGGGGAAAAAGGCAGAATATGTTTTGTTTCAGCAGGACTGTGGCCGTATAATAAATGATTGGTCGACTAATACTAGTCTGGGAGGTGTAAGTTAGGTCCTAGGCTTTAAAATGTCGGCCAGAGAAAATCCTCTGCCATCCTTAACTGCTGCTAAATGCACTAGGTCCATGAAGAAATCTCATCCCAGAGATCTTAAACCAGTTGCAGTGTGTGTGTGTGTGTGTGTGTGTGTGTGTGTGTGTGTGTAGTCTGGAGAGCTTGGGGTTAACAGTGTTGGCCTTGCAGGTGCAACCCAGAGTAAGGTTACCAGATGTCCCTGTTTCCTGGGGACAGTCCCTGGATTTACAAATCAGTCCCCATACAAAATCCATTGAAGTTGAAAAGTGTCCCTGGATTCATTGAAAAAAAATCCGGTAACCTTGACCCAGAGCTCTCCTGTCCTCACCACACCCTGGCAAGCTCAGCGGCACGATGGAGAGAATGTCCTAGGTGAATATAGTACAGTAGTACCTCGGGTTACAGATGCTTCAGGTTACAGATGCTTCAGGTTACAGATGCTTCAGGTTACAGACTCTGCTAATCCAGAAATAGTACCTCGAGTTAAGAACTTTGCTTCAGGATGACTACAGAAATCGTGCTTTGGCGGCACGGCAGCGGAGGGAGGCCCCATTAGCTAAAGTGGTACCTCAGGTTAAGAACAGTTTCAGCTTAAGAACGGACCTCCAGAACAAATTAAGTTCTTAACCCAAGGTACCACTATATTAACAAATCATTTATATAATGCTAAAGGGCCGTAATAGCTGCTGAATAGTTTGCAAGCATAAAATCAGCTACACACAGATGCACAAACACAATTAAACAATAGAACAACCCCACGAAAACACAAAAATAAACATCCACAATTAAAATGTGCAATAAAACAAACCAAATTAAAAAAACAGCACAACAATTAGAACAGTTAAAACAGAAATTAAAACAATTAAAGCAGGAGGCTCAGGAGATATGGGTCTAACAATTGGTTAAACAATCTCTCCAGCTTCCAAGGGAACTTTGGAAATTGTAGCTCTGTGTGGGGAATAGGTGCCCTCTAACCAACCCCCCCCACATATCCCAGGATTATTTGAGGGAGGACATGTCTGTTTAAAGTGGTATGATACTGCTATAACTGTATTGTGCATATGGGGCTGAAGCATCCAAGTGAATGCATGCAAGATGCAGCCACTCACTTCTGAAAATCCTGAGGAAGCATGGAGAGGGGCAAAGGGATACAGGATTCCTGGGGAATAATAGCATGTGGGGTGTGGCAGTGCTCAATACCGCCCCCCTGAGAGAGTGATTACTTCCATAAGAAGTCAGAAGTTATGGGGGGTGGAATGCAGGGAGTGCGGCTCCGAGACTTTTTTCAAAACAGGAGCTACGATGCCATCAGCTGCAGTGCTAGGAGAATTGGTGGGCACTCCCCACCCTGACCCGGCATGTAAATGAGGCGATAATGAGGCTTTCAAGTTTTACTGTTTGTGTACAGCATAGTGGAAGTCAGAGAATAGGAAGAAGAAGAAGAATTTGGATTTGATATCCCGCTTTATCACTACCCGAAGGAGTCTCAAAGTGGCTAACATTCTCCTTTCCCTTCCTCCCCCACAACAAACACTCTGTGAGGTGAGCGGGGCTGAGAGACTTCAGAGAAGTGTGACTAGCCCAAGGTCACCCAGCAGCTGCATGTGGAGGAGCAGAGACACGAACCTGGTTCACCAGATTATGAGTCTACCACTCTTAACCACTACACCACACTGGCTCTTCTATGGCCAGTTTGCTCTTCTATGTCTGTCAGATGATACGAGTAAGCTGTGTATTGTGCTATGCATTTCTATTTGGGTGTGTGTTGTCTGTGTGTGCACCCACATGTCTATGATCAACACTGCACCTCCCCCCCTTTTTTACACTCTCCTTGGGAACATGGCTAAGGGGTCGTGATGAGTTCATGAACCTCTGTGCCATTGGGCAGGTTCGAACCCTGTGCTACCGCTTCTCTCTGTCTTGCGGGTTAACAGCATCGGACAGCTGGGAGCTCTTGATCTCTCGCCGGTCAGAGTGCAGGGGTATTTTGTCGGGTTCCATTTTGATAGGCTCCAAACAATTCCAGGGCACGATGAAGGCAGAGGAAATGCCCCGTGAAAAGGTGATGTCGCAGATACCTCCGAGGACTCTGGCCAACTGCAGAGGGACGGCTGATACATTTATTAGCTGACATCTCTGTTTTTGCTGCTTTAGCACTAATATTTTCCTTGGCAGAATTCAAAACGGGGGTAATGGACTCCATTCTCATATATATTTTTTTCTTTAACCAAACAGTTCCAGCAAGGTGGAAAACAAGGCTAAGAGAACAGATTTGCCTGCAGAGATACCTGCTCCGGGGAGATTTCCCATTGCCAAATCTTGTCCGTAATAGGTCCATCAACAGTCTTCCCCCGGCTTCCTATTGTTTGACTGTTATGACAGGATTCGACCTCGCCACTCAGGGGCCAGCTCTGGTGCTTCCAGTGGCCTCTCTTTGGTCTCCAAGAATAACACAGACAGACTCGTTTCTGCAAGAGGCAGTTTCCAGGGGTTCGGCTGGGAGCTGAGAAGGTAGTGGAGGGGGAGCTGGCTCCACATACGAAAATAACTACCTTGGCCCAAGCTTGATGCCTTCCCTTAGAAGTGTGGGCTGCAGCCGAGGGCTGCCTGGCAATCCTTATGTAAATACAGTTGTGCAGCTGATAAGAGCCACACATAGAAAAACAACTGTTGGCTGTTGTTTTTTGGAGATGCCACAACCCTGTGCCAACTGGGTAAAACTTTATCCATGCACTGAACCAGGAATTTACACCTTCTCTTCAACACCAGGAGACTCAGTTCCAGAACATGAGAAGCAGTACTTGGGAGATTTGTTTCTGTACATGCACAGAGTGCCCTGAGTGTATTGGGCATCCACAGCCAGTCCTTCCAGAAAGAATAGTTTCCACATGGACACAGGAAACGGTGGGGGGGGGGAGTCCCACAACCTTGCAGCTTCAGTGCAAAGATTTCTGCTTGCACAATGGAACTCTGCCCTGCACCCCCCCCATTGGCTGCAGAGGGTTGGGGGGAACCCCTAGGACAGTGTTAGGGGGCACACAAGAGGAAGATGAGAGGGGGGAACTCAGAGCTACATTGGATTCTACCCCAGCTTCTACGGAGACCATTGGACCATCTCGTTCAAGATGGTCTGCACTGACAGGCAGCTGGGGATGGGGAGCAAATTGATTCGGTTCACAATGGAAAGTGAATCTTCTCTCATTTCTGCTTTCCAAAAGAGCGCACAAACTGAAACACAGCCTTCCTTCCACATTCGCATTTCTCTGAATTTTGCAGTGCAGCCAAGCAATCTGTACAAAAATGCATGCACTGGGATAAAGTGTGTGTAGAAATGCACATATTAGTGGAAATAACATTAAAAAATTGTTACATTAGGAAAAGCTGCTTTGCAAAGATTTGTATAATGGGGAAAATTCCATGCAAAAATATGGATATTAGGAGAAATTCACACAAAGATGCTGATGAAATTTCACATTGACTAGAGAGAGAGAGACAGAGACAGAGAACTGAACTTAAGAATGGAAAAATGAGAAAGAGAAGGCAAAAACTGATGGATTCTTCCATCCCTATTTGATGTGTGTAGTTCCCCAGGGCTTTCAGACAGCAGTCTTTTCTAGGCCTTCCCAGGGATCCTGGGAATTGACCCTGCAAAGCATGTGCTCAACCACCAAGTCATGGGTGGAGAACCTTCATGGCTCTATGGATGCTGTTGGACTCCAACTCCAATCCTCTTCTGCCAGCATGGCCAATACTCAGGGATAATGGGAGCTGGAGACCAACAACAAGTGGGGGGATAGGTTCTCCATCCCTGCACTAAGTTGTCTCTCTCAGTTTTCCAGCTGAAGAACATGCTACCCTACCCTTTGTAGGATAACCAGCCTCATATTACCAACATGCTGAAGTCTAATTAATGTATGAAGGGGTTAATACTATAGGTAAACTTGTACTGCCAGGCTTAGCTATGTTCACATCCCCTCACACTGGGAGGAACCAGGTAATCCAGCCTTTGTTTCTCTCCAGCCTACCTGAGAAGCTCAGTGTGTGAAGAGGCATAAGCTGGTTGCTCCGAGCTCAGACTGCATGGCTCTCACAAGCAACTCTTGATTTCCTATACCAATAATTTAGGAACTTCCACCACCGTAACTAAGCCAAATTTTACTGCCTGTGTAACTTTTTCTGAATGTTGTATCAAAAAGCACATGAACCTGACCTTTAGAGAGTTTGTGAGTAAACCATTATTTAAAGTATCAAATATGTGGTCTTTTCTCTATGCTAGAGGAAGATGGAAGCTTTGGAACTCATTTTGGAGGTTATATATATATATATATATATATATACATACACACACACACACACCTCCACAATTCATCTTTAAATTTTAAATCTGTGCTGTGGTTCTCTCACCAAAGAGTACTTGCCCCAAAACTGGATTCTTCTTTTTCTACCTTTTTTCCCTTGTCACCAACATATAACTTCCCATTTGAGAAACGTGAGTGTAAAGCAGGACTGCAGTGATAATTCCTGCTCCTGAGCTATATTGCATTCATTCTGAAGGATCTTTGTAGCCCTTTGGGGTTTTAGGGCTTTGGCTCAAGGATAGTGGGCCCTGAAAAGCAATAAGGGTCCCAATTTTGCAGTGAGCTGTATGTGCAACTTATGCAGATTTGCAACATGAACAGGAATGGGTTAGGGAGTGGGCCTGGCTCCTACACACCCACAAACCACCCTTTATAGGGTCTTCAACAGCAGGGGGGTGGGAGCCTTTTTCACCACAAGGGCCACATTCCTTTGTGGGCAGCAAATGGTTGCAACTTTGGGTAGGGGAAACATACTTTCTATAAATATGTTGGGTATGGTCTTATTAAATGCCAGTTATCTTAAATGGCAGCAATTTGCTTATTCTTACATTTTCAGCCAACCTTCCTACCAACAGGTGCTCTGACAATGTAAGACAAAACATTATTTTAAAATAGCCCACTCCCAAGCATCACCATATAAAAATATTCCATTTAAAAATATCGGGAGATAAAAACAGCAGTGCAAAAATAAAACGAAACAACAACTTCAGATTCCCGGTCCCTCAAAAGCCAGGGAGCTGCTTCAGTGGAAGAGATCCAGAAATCTGTGCTTAACTCCCCCCCCCCCCCCAATCAATGTAGTGCAAAGCATCTGGTGGGCAGCAGGAGTTTAAGACTGAGTTTGAAAGTTCTCTTCCAGGTGCCTCTGTGGACAGTGTTTGGGCTGGTCAATGTCAGCCAGGGGGATGGTCTTTTTGGTGGTGGCATGCAGCTTCATTGTATAGCCCCCAGTTCAATGAGAGATGGAGAAAAAGCTCTTCTCTGTCTACTTTCTCCTTTTCTTGCTTTTGTTAGGCTGCTGCTGATTATTATTATTTATACAAAATGTAAACCACTCCTGCTATTTTAATAGAAATATGTATGATGAAGATGAAGATGATGAAGAAAAGTTGTGCCACATTTCTGCTCCCTCTGACTTCAGCCTAGAAGGGAAAAGGCGCATCTCAAACTGCTCCGAGCAAGTTATTTTTAACCTAGAGAGAATGTACTGTGCTGGAATATTTCAAGTCCTCTAGTAATAGAAACAGAAAACAATACCAGCGTATCGAGCTTTGAGGCTTATCTTGAATCCATTTCCACCTATTATGTGGCTAGCAAAGAACACAACTGTTTGGGACGAATAGGCCTTTTATCAGCAGGCTGTCGAGAAGGCAGGAGCAGAATGAGGTGTGTGTGTTGGGACAGGGTTGGGCAGGGGCACACTATGTGTGTGTGTGCAGCGGTGGGAGATGTACCAGCAAAGAAACCAGCTGATATTCACTTAAAAGGGAATCAAGGAATGGGAAGAATTGGGAGGGGGAGGAGGGGAGTCTTTTCCTGGACTTCTTGGGGATGCTGAGAATTGAATATAAGACCTTCTGCGTGCAATGTGTTTGCTCTACCAATATCAAGTCAGATGTGGGCTCCAACTCTCAGCGGCTCCAAGCCAGCATGACCAATGGTCAGAGATGATAGGCATGGCAGTCCAGCAACATCTGGAGGGCCACAAGTTCCCCAGTCCTGGTGTGGTAGAAAAGCAGGCTGGGATGAGCTGGAACTAGAGGAAAGAACTGATTGCTACAGCTAAAGGAAAATGTAGCTTCACCATATGGAGAAATTGCAATGCTGCTATTGGCATAGCAGGGCAGGGCGGGGCGGGGGGACACAGGAAGGAGGAACTCCAGGGCAGAATAGATGCCAGGTGCAGGGAACTTGGTTCTCTCCAGATGTTCCTGAGAGTCACCTCACAAGACCACAACTCCCATCATTCCAGACTATGAGCCTTCCTGGCTGGAGCTGATGGAAGTCAGAGGTCAATGCTAACCAGAGGGCCCCAGGTCCCCCTTCCCCACTTCATGGGGATTGGCCAGCCCCAGCTTCTTCAAGGGGCTGTGCAATGCCCTTTAAGATTGCATACAAGGCTCTCATTTTCAGGGCTTGGTAAAAGAAACGAGAGGTTTTGTCGACAATTCAATTTAGGAACAATAGATAAGCAATGTGAACTACTTTAAAAGGAAACGGACACACACTTGGGAAACACTGGGGGACTACAGGAAGATATCAAAGATAACCTAACAGTTTCAGATCAGTTTAAAAATAAAATCAATCAAGCATAGGCTCCTCATGAGCAGAGGCAGGCAAACAATTGTAATTTGACTAAAATGAATCGTAGACTCAGATGCTAGAAGCTAAATAGAAAGGGAAAAGGGGGGGGGAATAATCTGAGCATTCAAAGCAACACACAGAGGTGTATAAAGCAAAAAAGACCTCTGAATACACCATTAAAAAGAAAGACTAGAATAATAGAATCAGAAGGAACCTTGAATGCCATCTAGTCCAACCCCTGGATGTTGGAAATCTGCTGGGACAGCATCCCTGTGCCTCTAACAAAGAAAAGCTTCCCACCTTCCAAGGCAGTTTGTCCTACTCTTGGGCAGCTCATACCACCAGGATGTTCTTCCTGACATTTAGACAAAACCCTTTTGTCATTTGAGCTGGGGCTCTGCAGAATCCCTGATGCAGCTTCTTAAACTCCATTGACCCAAAATCGCTCTTAATGTGAAACATAAGAAGTTGCCTTATACTGAATCAGATCACTGGTCAATTCTCCAGGTGGATGAGGAGCCATTGACTAGCACGCTTGGGGTATGGGGCACCAACCTTCTTCAAATCCCCTGAACAGCAATGTTATAAGTTTGGATGGGGCTAGGAGTGGTGGTGGTCAGTGAGGATGGTATGTGGCTCCCTTCTAAACCCATGATCCTGTATCTGGGAGGGTAGCATCCACAAGTGGAAACCTGCCAGACTAGTTTTTTGTCAATGTAATGGCCTTAGCTGCTCAGCTAAGTACAAAGCATTCACATCTTAAGAAGTGAGCTCTGTTGCCATAGAGACAAACTGGTGGGCATTTCCTCACCTTACCTGGCTGTGTACCACTTCATCTTAGGATGGAGAAATAGGATGGCCTTTGGGGGATGTGTTTATGAGAGTAGTGTGAGTTTTGAAGCTGGAGGACAGAGCCATGCTTGCTCTATCCTGGACCCAAAGCTGTGGTTGAAGACTTATCTGGAAACCTAATGGGGAAGCAAGATCTGCTGCTTTCCCATTAGGTTTCCAGAGAAGTTAATGCTGTGAATCCTTTCATCTGTATATATGTGCAAACCAAACCACACACCTGAAAGACCCCACAGTCTTATGGGCTCATACATAGCATATTATTGACCTAGGGGAAAAGACCATGACAGCTGGAATAAGATGTTTCGTATATTGCAGCAGGCAGGAATAAACTCAGAGGACAGAAGAATAATATATAATTTATATCCAAACTAGAAAGCTATCATTAGTGTAAATGATATTTGAGTGAAGGGCTGAAATGCATAGAGAGATCTGTCAAGGGTGCTCACGGTTCCTTGTAATGTTTAACATATTCATAGAGGCTGCAATTAAAATAAGTAGCAGCAGACACGGGCATGAGAATAAATGGGAAAGAAAGAAATTGACCCTGCTTTGCTGCTGATGTAGCAGAAATGGCTGACACAGCTGGAATGCTGCCAACTAAAATGAAATAAACTGAAATGAAATAAATCCAGGTTTTTCAGGACTGTGGCTTTAAAAGGATGGGAATAAAACCAACATATTAATCATAGAATTGTAGAGTTGGAAGGGGTTCCCCAAGGGCTGTCTAGTCCAACCCTATGCAATGCAGGAGTCACAGCTAAAGAATTCCCTGACAGGTGGCCATATAACCTCTGTTTAAAAATCTCCAATGAGAGTTTCCCACTTTCCAAACTCGTCTGTTCCACAGTTGAACAGGTCTTACCAACAGAACATTCTTCCTAACGTTTAGTCAGAATTTCATTTCTTGTAACTTGAACCCATTGGTTTGGGTTACTATCCTCTGGGGGCAGCAGAAAACAAGCTTGCTTCCATGTGACAGACCTTAAGGTACTTGAAGATGGCACTCCTCTCTCTCTCTCTCTCTCACACCCACACACACACCCACACACCCACACACACCCACACCCACCAGTTTTCTCCAGGCCAAACATACCCAACTTCCTCAACTGTTCCTCATAAGGTTTCATTTCGTTTATCAACTTGGCCACCCTCTTCTTCCAGACTATCCAGGGCCAGGGCTTTTTCAGTGACGGCTCCAACCTGGTGGAATGCTCTGTCCCACAAGACTAGGGCCCTGCAGGACTTGATCTCCTTCTGCAGGGCCTGTAAGACAGAGATATTCCACCTGGCCTTCAGTTTGAATTAGCTTGATCCTCTATTCCCTTTCCCCCTTTCCTCTTCTATGAATAAACCCTTTCTGGGACCCCACATTTAAATTCTTCCCTGGTCGCCTTGCTGTCCCTAGTAGGACTAACTTGGCCAGTTAGCCCTGGTGATCACTTGATGTCTACTGACTGGGGTCCCCCCCAATGACCCCTGAATTTTTTAATTTTATTGATATTGATGCTGCATTTTATGTTGTATTTTATGCTGTTTTAAAGTCACATTTTAATCAATGTTTTATATTTGCTGTTAGCCACCCTGAGCCCAGTTTTTAAACTGGGAAGGGCAGAGTATAAATAAAAAGTTGTTATTATTATTATTTCTGCACCGGTTCCAGCTTGTCAAAATCCAAGGCAGAATAACAGTAAGCAAATGGCGGGAAGTATAATCTTGGAAGCAAATAAAGAGAGGATGCCAGACTCGTGAGCAGAAACCTGGAGCAAAATTTGTAGGGGCTCTCCCTTCCTCACTTAATCTCCACAACACCACTGTTAGATAGGTTAGGCTGAGAGGCAGTGACTGGCTAAAGAGTCAGTGAGGATTTGAACTTTGGTCTCCCAGGTCCTAGTGCACCAATCTAACCACATCATCTTGGCTGGAATGTACAGGCCAGTGTACAAATAAAAGCAGCATTTCCATTTGTCCTACCCTTTTGGTCTCTGACCCCACCCACTGGCATGCAGCCCCTGGCAGGTAAGTCATGGGGAAACGCAGCCGTCTGGCTGTAAAAGCCCCCCCCCCCCCCGCTGTTCTATGTTTTGCTCTTGAGGTAGAATGAAGTTTTGAGCTGCCTATAATTTATGTATGTTGCAAATGGGGTAGGAAGGTTTGTCAATTTCTGTTTCTCATTGTTTCCAGTCATGTTCCATTTCCTACATTGTCTCATCAGTTTGGGATTATTATTAAGAAGTCATATTGAGTGTTCATCAGCATATTTCCGGCTACACATTTTTGCTTACTATACACACATTTCCAAAGCAATTTTCCCCAATGTAAGGCTTTTTTGTATAGTATTATCATTAATAATACACATACCGCTTGCCCTGGCATATATGTTTTTGTACCCGTTACTTGATTGGTGAACTGCATTGCAGCATTTTGAGAAGTGCAACTTTTAAAGGGCAGCTGTGCTTTGGTTGTCATATACAGTATGTTCTTTATGAAGCTGGATCTGGGTTAATAGCTGTTGGGGCACCAGTTAAATAAGCAAAGGAGCCCTCAAAAGCCTGGCCACACCTGTTGTGAAACACAAGGCAGTTTCCCCCTCACTTCCCATAACCTACTTTTTCATTTCAAGCATAGAGTATGTAACAAAGGGTTCAAAGGAGCAGTCTTAATGCACACACAAGATGGTCTCATGTTTTTCTTTTAATTTGAAAAACAACAACAAACAAACCACTTTTAATACTACTAAATGTATTCCCAAATTTTCTACTTGCGCCCTTGCTGTTCATTCAACTTTGGCCAGTTTGGCAGTGGGGAAGTAAGCTCTCCATATTACATGCTGGTTGACATCAAACCGACAGATACAGATCTCCTTTTCACAGCTTTAGTAAGAACAGTTCACTGGAGACCGAGAAAAATCAGGTTGCCCAACATCCTGTTGGTTGGGATGTTGGATGCTACAAAGAGGGAGCTGCCATATTCTTATTGAAGCCAACACTTCTATGCAAGAAGTTGCTGCAGATAAACATTTTAAGACACCCCTGCCTCTGTCTTAGTTCAGAAATGGATAAAGACCTCTTCCCAGCTCAACAGGCATATCCTTCTATGAGATTCCGGTGAGATTCCTACTTTTAACTTTTGGACACTGCCTCAGCAACAGATGCAGAAGATCCAGCTTGCCTTTTCAGACTATACAGGATTTAAGATTGTAATAAATTAACAGAAGGGACGGGACAGCAAAACAAAGAATCCAGGATAGAGATTGGGCAATACAGCCATACTTAAAGATACATATATAAAACACTTGACATCTTAAAAAGGGAATAGTAAACAGTGTTTTATGACTTAACGCATCATTCTACATAGTGGGGTTAAGCAGGGGAACAGACACTGAATCCAAGAGGACCAACTGTTATCCAGTATGGCAGGGAGGGGGCCCTATATGCATTGGAATGTACATCAAACAAAAGTTAACAGCCACAGACACGCCACCAGTTTCTTCACAGCTCAGTGGACCACAGTCTTGCTTTTGATGAAAAAAAATGACACTTCAGAAAATGATCAGGAGACAAAGTTTTGATGAATTGGTGAACAAATTAACTAAAACCTTCTTTAGGTTTGCCTTTGGCAGAGATGGCTAATGTAGTGCTCTCTGGATGTTATTAGACTCCACCTCCCATCAGCCCAAGCCAGCAAAAAAGCTATCAAGTTGGAAGTGCAAAAGTCTTTTTCATATCAAGTGCTAGTGGTTACATTATACAGTGAAGGTGAACTCCGTAATGTGGCACAAAGCCTTCAGGGACAGTTTCCAGTGACAGTTGCCATCAAGGAGCACAACATGCAAGAAATAACTGAAAAGTACTTAAGCCACACCAACCAAACTCTATCAGCGAGGAGGTCTGCTTGACAAGCTTACTTCGGCAGTAGCCGATATTCCCTAAAATGCCCGCATGTGACAGGAACTCTGTTTTTAGTCCAACATGACTGTATATGGCTCGCAGTTTTGCTATCCTACTCAGACTTCCTGTAAACCAGGGAGTTGTACAGAAAAGGAAAGAAAAAATGATATATGACTGTCATACAATGTCACCATGTTGCTATCTGGGAATAGAAGCCACAACAGTAAGTTTCTTCCCACTGAAAACAAAAACACTTTCCTCTGTGTCTTCTGCACTAGGATACAAATCATCTTCCAGAAAGCAAGGCCAACTCCTGCATAGTGCCAAGCTGGTAGAGGTGCCTGTTCCTCCTCCTCCTCATCAGGTGGTTGCTGCTAACCGTCCTCACCTGCAAGGCCTAACACAAAAAGAAGACCAACAAATGCCCCTCCCCAACCAACTAGTCACCCTCTGACACTTGGATGACTGAATGTCTGTGAAGCAGCCATTTCATTGGCCCAGAAGATGTCCCATGGTAGACTCTACCTGGAAGGTTCAGATTATGTCTATACGAAAGCCAGGATAGCCCTACTTGGTACAGCAGGTTTCACATGGTAGAAAACAAGGCGGCCCCTGAGAAGAACATTTGAGACATGGCCACTTTTGTCAAAATCGGAAGGGAGCCATCCATTATCAGGAAGGCTAATTAGCTGAGTAAACCCAGAGTTGCCTCAAAGGAAGACAACATCCATCTTCTGTAATGGTTGCTTTGTTTGCTAGACATATTGCTTCTTGGAAGCACTGCTGCTAGGCCGGCTCGACTGCCTTTCCTGAGAGAGATGGACTATGGGGGCTTCCGTGGTAAAGACGTCAGGGGGCTTATTCCTGCCTTGCAAGGCCAAGGTTTCTTCTGTGTTGAAGTTGGCCCAGTTCTGCTCACTGGAAAGTTTGTTGTATGCCTGGTAGGGCGGAGAAGGCCTCTCACTCATTGGGAGGTAGAAGAAAGCCTTGTCGGGATAAGCCTCCTCAGGCACACCGCAAAGCTTGTTGGGGAAGCTGTTGGCCTCACAGGGCATGGGAGGAGCAGAGGAGGGGGAACAGCAGTCTCTTTCCTTGGTGTTGTGCAGCAGGCTCTTGCAGCAGAGGTGGAATAGCTCCAGAAGGTTGAGAACGAGAGAGATCAAGCCCACCACCAGCATGAAGAGGATGAAGATAGTTTTTTCAGTGGGGCGGGACATAAAGCAGTCCACATGGTGTGGGCAAGGGTCCCCCTGACAGACATAACGGGCATGCATTACAAAACCATATAGGTACCACTGGCCAAGGAGGAAGCCAGCCTCAAAGATGCTCTTGAAGACCACACTAATGGTGTAGGTCCACATCAGAGGCCCACGGATTTTAATCCTCCCATCCTCCGCCACGCAGATCTTGGCCATCTTCTTCTCCACCGCCACCAGCATGGCTGTCACCTTATAATCCTTAGACTGCAGAGCCCGGAGCTCACTCTCCCGCTCCTTCAGCTTCACCTCAAGCCGGGAGAGATAGATGACGTGCCCCAGGTAGACTAAAGTGGGTGTGCTGACAAAGAGAAACTGCAGGACCCAGTAACGGACGTGGGAAATGGGGAAAGCCTTGTCATAGCAGACGTTGGGGCAGCCGGGCTGCTTGGTGTTGCAAACGAAGTCTGACTGCTCATCTCCCCACACGGACTCTCCAGCGAGGCCCAGGATCAAGATGCGGAAGATGAAGAGGACCGTCAACCAGATTTTGCCGATGACAGTCGAGTGCTCCTGCACTTGGTCCAGTAACTTCTCCAGGAAGCCCCAGTCACCCATCTTGTGCTAAGGGAGAGCACAATACATACTTTTACCACTTAAAAGCCACTATTGATTACTTGCTATGTGATACATAGCCACACAGCGAAGTTTTGCAAATATTGTTTCCATAACACCATTCAGTGTAGGTGGTGTTTCCGACTAAAATTAACAAGGAAGGTTCCTGCCCCAAAAACTTACAGGTGAAACTTTAGATAGCTTGGGGTGGGGAGAGACCAGCACAAGTGAGGACCAAGTATGAGCAAGCACGCTTCCTATATAATTGTTGTATTTTATTTTTTTGAAATAAGGAACCCCAAACTTAAAATACAAAATGGTAACTTGCGCAAGTCTCACCCCTGGTGCCCTGCTATTGTGGAAGCGAAGAGCAGCTGAATTTCTAGAAGTGTCAGGACTTGCTTTCAAAATAACAAAGGGCAGAGGAATCCAGAAGTGTTTCAGGCTCTTCTACATCTGGACAAGAACAATCCTTACAGAGCATCCTATTTTTAAAAGACAGTTTTGGGATAGAGAGAAAGGACCAGCTAACTGTTCCCATGCTCTACACCACCCTCTCCACCTATCTAGTAACAAGATACTTTGAGGACTAGAATATTTGCCTATCCAGAATTTTCATGGACAGTTTTAAGAGTACAATTTTAAGAGTAGAATTTAAAGCAGAAAAGTACAGATATATGCATATACAAATTCTGGACCATAGTGATGTTAGGAGCCTAAAAAACACTTTTAAAAATACCCTTTGGAAGAGGTTTGGAAAAGTGCTCAGCAAGCAGGGAGAAGAGGCAACTCTGCAGGAGAAGGGCCTTATTTTTCTGCTGTGGAACTTGAGGCAGCTTTAATAGGATTCTCAAAATGTCTCACAGTGAGGCACTGACAAGACCCAGACCTCCTTAGCTTCAGCAGTCTTGGCCCATTAAGTGTCTTAAGCCCAGGCCCTGGGACCAATGTGAGTTAACCTACTGGCCTGCAAATTAATCCTAGAAATTGCCCTGTGAAGGAGAAAAGGCAACAGTCAAATCCACACCATATATTCATGTTGTTGGCCTGAAGTTTTGCAAGAAACAGTTGCATAAATAAAAAATAAATAAAGCTCATGATCCTACGACTCTTATACTACTTTCACAGTCATGTTTCCTTCCTAAGGAATTATGAGAAATGAAGTTTGTTAAACATGTTGGGAACTATAGCTCTGTGAAGGGTTCTCCTAATAGCACCCATGACAAACCACAGTTCCCTGGGTTCGTTTTTTTTTTGGGGGGGGGGACCATGACTGTGAAAGTGGTATAAAAGTGCTTTGCATGCTTGGTGTGGATGTCTGGTAAGAAGATCCACTGTGCAGGAAAATTCCTAATAGTCTCATCATTTGCAGAACATTTAGAAAAAAAACCACCACGATATATTTCTACCAAAGGGAACAGACCCTCACTTCCCCTGATCTTAGAGCTGTTCAGCAGTGGAATAGACTGTCTAGGAAGGTGGTAGACTATTTCACTGGAGGTTTTTAAACAGAGGTTGGGTGGCCATTTGTAAGGGATTGCATTGCAGGGAGTTGGAGTAGATGGCGCTTGGCATACCTTGCAACTCTTTGATTCTATGATCTTTTAGCACTTAGGAGACAAACCGCCCAATGAATGCTGCCCCTTTAGGGATCTGTACCAAGAAGCCAAGCCAACCACAACCCCATACCTGGGGTTAATCACATCACTCATTGTTACCCTCAGTTTCCCGTAAAAAACAACAGCTAGAAAGATTAAAACTTATTGGGAGGCGGGGAAGCAAGATGCTGAGCATGCTGACAAAATATACAGTACAAAACGGAGACCTTTGAAAAGCTACTCTCCTCTGCTGTGTTCAGCTGCTCTGCAGGAGTTTCCCCTTAAAGCTAACTTCCCCTTAAATTTAAAATTTTGTATCAGACAAGGCAGTTGTGCTTAAAAGCATGAATGCATACCAAGCTTTTAGTTGGAGACAGTCTATGTCTATGAGCAATAAGGAGCTCCTGCTGCTGTAAGAATATAGGAAGGTGTTTTACAAGAATTCAGACCATTGCTCCACCTAGTTCCATATTACACACACTGACTGGCAGCAGCAGTTCCTACTTGGAGATGCAGCTGGGGACTGAACCTGGGACCTTGATGCTCTCTTGATGAGCTACAGCCATTCCTGCATTCTGGAGCCTTTCCTCACCCATGCGACCTTCCAGTTATTTGTTTTAACTTGGCAATTTCATCCTGCAGCTCTGTCTTAGGTATCTTCAAAAACCATGCATGGAGCTACTAAACATGGGTATTTTTCAATGCAAAGCTATATCCTATCGTAGATTTTTAACACCACCAACTTTAAAACATAAACAGAGATTTAATCTTAAAGTGCAAATAAAGACAGAGGAACAAGTCATAAAGTCCACAGACAACAAAGGCCAAACAGATTCTTTTGCTCACCTTTTAAGCCCTCTCTCAGCCTAGTACCTCTCTGAAGGCCACCACAGCCCTCTGCTACTTGCCCCTGGGGTTATAAAGAGAAAGGAGCAGGCAGTCAATCAAGAAGTGTCCAGTCAGGGGCTTGATCAGCTTTTAAAGTGATAGCCTTTTCAACCTCACATACCGAAAGGATTGTCCCACTCAACAGAGCCAACGAAGGAAGGGGTGTGTGTGTGGGCGGAGCAGGTTTAACTCTATCAAAGGGTTAAATTATTCTAGAGGAAATTCCGGCAGGGCAGGTAAATGTTTTTCTCCTGCTACTGCCCAGAACTGCCTATCAAGGATAAGTAAGGAACCCTCAATACTTGGAAGAAACACAAGCTATCTCAGTTCAGGGTTGCCAGATGGAAGGAAATCCTGTTCTACAGCTGTGTCTTCATCGCCTGACACACATCAACCAGCAGAACTTTTCACGGCATGGAGGAAAACATGACTGCTGGCTAATGCATGTGTTTCAAGGCGCTATTGAAAGCATGATGACAGTGGCAGGTTGAAAAGTTGGCAGCCCTATGCCAGTTTGGTGTGTGTGATCCTATCTTTATTATCTGGTGTTTTATTATCTGGCTGAGATTCCATGCTCCAGAATTTGCATTCTGTACTGGGACTGAGGCTCAGTATACACGGAGTCATAGCTGTCAACTTTTTCCCTTTTCTTGCGAGGAATCCTATTCGGAATAAGGGAATTTCCCTTAAAAAAAGGGAAATGTTGACAGCTACGCATGAAGTATACACGCAAGGATAAGAGTGTGCCTCTGAGCACATGCAGTGTGCTTGCTCCTTCTTCCACTGAGTACATGAGAACTAGCAACTAGTTGCCAAAGGATATGGCAACTTTGCTGAAGCAAAGCAGGTCTGTATGGGAGACTGTGCCATGCATACCCTCTTGATAGAAAGAGGGTAGGACAGAAATTTAGCTAAACGACTAAATCATTCCAAGGTCCCATGCAGGTCGTATTAAGGAAAAAGAGTACCAGACCAAGTGGAAAGAACTCACAGGCAAGTAGGAAATAATAAATGAATAAAGTAAAATAAATCAAAGAAATGGGCCCGCTACTTCTGAGGCTGTCCAACTAATTTGGAGATTCGGCCAAAACAAATCTGGGGAAGGGCTGTAGCTCAATGGCAGAGCACCTGCTTTGCATGCAGAAGGTGCCGGATTTGATCCCTGGAATCCCCAGGCAGGGTGGGAGAGATCCCTGCCCCAAACCCTGGAGAGCTGCTGCCAGTCAGTGTAGACAACACTGAAGAAGACAGACCAAGGGCCTGACTCGGCAGCTTCCTATGTTCTTTCCCCGACTGTGGTACTCACCAACAGGTAAAATGCAAGTTCTCAGCATACAAATCCAAGTTTTTGGTTTTGAATTACTGCCCTTCTGAGTTTTGCTCCAGAAGAGAAAGGAGGCTGCGGCAAGAGAGCACAGAGCCCTCTTGCTGTGATCGAGGAAACTCCGGGACTGTTCTGAAGAGCTTGGTGGTGGTGGTGGGGAAGTTGACTACAATAACTCCAGGATGAGTGCAGAGGGGAGGAGCTAAAGGGAAAGGGAGGAGTCACTGTTGTCAAAGGCTTTGGGCTGGCTCTCAGTCCTGTGGCGTTATTACGATCCTCCAAGGGGCAGCTTGTGGGGCAGGTGGAAAAAGAAGGGAAACCAGGGTGACTTCACTTGTTTCCTGGCTGGAGGCATGTGTAATGGGTGGGTGAAATTATGGGAGAGGAGAGGAGACAGCAGGAGTCCTAAGAGAGGCTTGGATAAGCCCGGTGGCCTTGCAGGGTTTAGCTTGCTGCTTTCCTTACAAACGGGGGCAGGCAGGGGGAGAGCTGCAGTCGGGGAAATAGGAAGCATAGGAAAACAACGAAGACTGAAATAACAAGCGTTGCCCATTGTGAAGCTGTCTGGGCCAAGAGAAACAAGAGGGAAATCCTGGAGAAGCGGAATTTGCCGGCAATTAACTAAGCGTGGGAATCGGGAATGAGCTAGGCCTCAGCAAGGCCAGTGGCAGTGGGAGTTTATTGTAGGGGGGCTCTGGTATTATCTTTTGGAAACTAGCAATGCAGCATGTCCCCCCCCCCCCCCAGCCTGGTCTTTGGTGTGTTTGCTTGGAAGCAAAATTATGCTGAGGCCAGTATTTTGGCCCCTTCTGCATTGTCAGAAAACAACAAGAAAGAAACTGCAACTAACCAATCAGCCGAAGGACAGGTGCCCTTCGTAATGATTTGTACTCATGATGATATCAGGGCAGTTATACTCAATACAGTGGTACCTCTGGTTATATATGCTTCAGGTTACGGACTCCGCTAATCCAGAAATAGTGCTTCAGTTTAAGAACTTTGCTTCAGGATAAGAACAGAAATCGGGCTCTGGTGGCGCGGCGGCAGCAGGAGGCCCCATTAGCTAAAGTGGTGCTTCAGGTTAAGAACAGTTTCAGGTTAAGAACAGACCTCCGGAACGAATTAAGTACTTAACCCGAGGTACCACTGTAAATGTTTGCTGCAGCAAACATTTCTGGGTGGTCAAACTGCTTCATTTGCAAGAGCTGCATGTCTCATACTTTCCTGGCGAAATCTTGTAATTTTTGCACAACTAATGTTCTGGAGTTTGTTTTGTTTTGCTACAAGACAGCAGTAATGCAACAATATGGGAGAGGCATTGCAGAACTAATGAAGTGGAATGATCTGTGGATGGTCTAGTATCAATCTATTGCTAATGTTCTTTTATTGCATCAGTGACCTATTGCAGTATGTAGTATCCCTCAGTATGAACCAACCTGAAATCTAAGAGAAGAGAATTTTTCTGGAAAATGATTGGTGAATTTACTTCTTTTTTTGCCACCACCCCAAACTACCCCTTGGAGAACATTCCGGAAAATGACCCCCCCCCCATGTGCCTCTTAATTTCACCACCTGCATAATTTAGGGAGGCCATTTTCGCTCAGCCCAGAGGCCCCCAACTTGGGGGCCTGATATGATGCTCTGATGTTGCTCCATGTTTGGTCTCAAAAATGTGGGGGGGGGGGACCTGGCCCGCGCCCCCAAAAGTCTGAGGGGGCCCAAAGAGCCTCAGCCCCCTGGAGCCAGTGCCTATGGCTCAGCCACAGACAAGAGTCACTTTTTCCTAGGATGGGATTGAATTCAGCCACAGTATTTTTATAAGTAAGGAAGCAGTGCCACCTCCTGGGCTAAAAGTATGATTAACAACAAAATTCTGAAGTGTAGTTGAGCTGTATTAGGACCAAATTAGACACCGTGTGGATGAACCATGATGGTTTCATTTATTTAAAGAACTTCAATCCCGCTCTCCAGCTGAAAAGGTATCTCAGGGCAGCTTACAATGATCAAAGTTATGGCCATGATGAGACCCTGGTTTCAGGTTCCACTCAACAACTAATTTGCAGGGCCCACTTCAGATTGACTTTGATGGTGAGGCGAGGTTGTTCAACCCTTTCCTCATCTTTGTTTTCAGCAAAAAGACTGACCAGCCTATCCAACCCCTAGGTATGCCTTGTCTCCAGGGAGGATTGGGAATGTCCCCTGCCAAAATGCCTCCTGGAAAGCTGCTGCCAGTCCGTGCTTACAATACTGAGCTAGATGGGAAAGGGCTGCGGCTCAGTGGCAGAGCTTATGCTTTGCATGCACCTGGGACCTTCTGCATGCAGTGCTTCTGCACTACCACTGAACTATAGGCTTTCCTGAAAATCCCCATGACTTGGGAAAATGGGGAGAAAGCGGCGGGGGTAGGGTGAGTTTTCTTTTTGCTGCTGTTGCGTGAGTTAAAAAAATGCAGAAAAGCTGTGAAATGACGATTTTCTCTTGTGGCCACTGGGTGGCAGTGGGACAGCAAGCATTTAATAATACAAAGAAGGTAATTTCACCTTCTGAACTATGGGGGGGGGGGGGAGATCCCTCCAGAAAATTGGTGCATCTGCTGTTTTAAATAGACAGCTCTCTCTCTCTCATAAATAAACCCTTTGCTGAGTTAAGAGAACATAGCGATCTAAAGGCTGGGGTGGAATTAAATATGGAGAGGCCCCTAAGACACCATTAAAGTTTTAAGCTGCCGTCCTCCGAAGGTGGGTCATCACAGGGCTTTTGCTGAATTAGCTGTTGCTCCATCTGGGCTAGTGGATGTTTGCAAAGGAAAACAGAGAGCAGGGCTGGGGGCAAAGGTTAGACGGTGGATGTAACTGGAATGAGACAAATTATTCTGAATGGGCATTTGAAGTGAAACGCAAAAATTAGAATTAGTACATAAAAAGAACCCTTCTGGATCAGGCCAGGGGCTCATCCTGTGCAGGAAGAGCACCTGACACTGGTGCTATTGAAAGAAGTGCATGGCTCTCAGGAAAGCACAAGAATCTGAATCTTGGGGTTAGGAACTTTTGATTATTATTATTTTGGCCTATATTGGTCTTGGAAACACTCACCACCCATTTAAAACACACAAATCCTAGGAACTGTAATTTGCCCCTCATGGAACTACAGTTCCCAGAACCCTTAGAATACTGGGAATTGTAGGTTTTTCTGGTGGCAAGTCATGTGCTTTACATGTATGGTGCGGATGTGACCTACGTTTCGCTAGGGATTTGGTGACACAGGCAAGATTGATGTGGATTGAGAATTCATGGCTGAGATGCCCCACCAGCTCCAGGTTCCGGATTTGCACAAGACTGCTCTTGGAATACAAGCATGAGCATAGCTGCCAAGAGCTGATGCCATAAACCCAGAGCTTACTGGCTTGAGGTGGTGATGGGCTTTCTTGTATGCTTCCTTCAGTACATATGTCAATATCTAAGCCAGGGGACCATTGTTTCCCTTGCCACATACCTGGCTACAGGGAGCAGAGCCCACCTGCTGTGTTTTGAATAGACTACTACCTTCCAAGGGGTATTAACTCCTTAGCTTTCAGCTGGCAAGGAGATAAGTAAAGGCTACTGCATAAGCCACTTAGCATCCAGCAAAGCTGTTGGGTAGGGGCTGGAGAGCAAGTGGGGGGCAATCAGAGTTTCCCAGGTGAGCTGCAACCAGTACCTGGAAGACTCTTTAAGAGGAAATAAAACGGAAATTCTTTCAATAACTTTTTGGTGTGTAATATTTATTAAGGGCTGGTGAATAATTGATACTGATCTCGCTTCCTGGGGCAGGTTGGCTCTTGGTTAGATAGTATTAAAGTTTAACAACACTTGGCAGCTGCAAAGTAGGACGTGCACCCAAGGTGTGGTCTTCCTAACACTGTGGGGCTGTGAGTGCTGAGTGTCCCTGAGCTGGCAGGAATGCGAGGGTATGAATCTCAGCTTGATGGAGATGGCTCTTAGCATTCACACATTGAAGCCAGGTTCATTGATTACATGTCATATTTTCATTTTGGTTGGATCCCTTCATTCTTCTGTGATGGAGCTCAAGGATTGCAGCTCTAATGGGGTTTTCCAGCCTGTCAGCAGCTGCACATTGGGGGTCTGTTTATTTCAGCCAGGAAGCCACAGCAGGTGCCTTCATATCAGCTGCAAACTGGACCACAACAATTCTCCAGCTTAGATATTGGGGTTGGAAATACCTATTTCAGTGGGGTTCAAACAAAATAAAAACCATTCCTTTATAGTTACTTCTTTTGATCCTGCTTGGTGGCATCCTCCCTCTCCAATGGCTGGCAAGTGTTGGTGCTTCAGTGATAATTTACCTCCACTTGCTGTTTCTTTCATCATCTTCTGGATCAGCCACAGTATTACTGCCACCTAGTTAGGGATTGCGTACAGATCCCTGACTAACTAGCAGGGGCGTTGAGATTAGTGTGCTACTGTCTGGTCTACATCACATTGCCACAATGTGGACAGCTCCTCTCCTAACTTGCATCAGTTTTTGCTCTGCCCCCCCTTGCTAGGGCAGGTGAAGACCCAGCTTCCTGCCCCAAAGTGGGGTCTGCAGGTACTGCCAACCAGCTGATCACCAGCACTTGCAAAGCTCTGTGCCTTTGCCTGCATGGTTTGGTTTCAGACCACCTGGGCAAACGAAAACCTGTCACCTGGCATCAGGTGACTGATAGGTGGCTGGCTGGTTCCACTTGTCTGAAATGGCCTGCAAGGGTTGGGGGAACCTAAGCATCCAGCTCACCAGCTGCAAATGCTTAGGCAGAAACGACTACATATATTGGGAAGTTGAGGGTCCAGCTTTGATAAGGCTTTTCCAAAGGCACCCCATCCCATCCACCCAAACATCGTACATGTGCCTGACTACACTGCCCATCCATTGAATGTGATCTAGAAAAGACAACTAGAGCTGCATGTGGGCACAGTAAAGTTTCTACTGCTGCAACTCCCTAGGTCGGTATGGCAAGCAGCTATAACAATGGGTTATAGGTCAACTAGGTTTTGTATAGAGTAGACCCATTGACATTAATGGATCCATCTTAGTCATGCTCATTAATTTCTACTCTGATTAAAACTAAGTTGACTACCACCCTATTTGCCCCAGGCATCCATTGGCTTTGAGTAGAGAAACCAAGGACATCTGCATCAGGGAAGCGTAGCTGGAGTTTTGGAGTGTTCACTGCCTGTATCTGTGGTTGCTTCTAATGGGGATTGTATGGGGAATCTATCCGGAAGATATCTGTATTTCAAGGAGTTAGTGATCTAACTTGGTTACCCTTCCTGCCTCTGTTTGCTTCCCCCTCTCTATCTCTTGTTCAGCTCTTTGATGGCTGAGAGGAGCCTTTAATGCCCTAATCTGTGGAAGGAAGTGATAGCGCTGGGTACCTTCACCTTCTTTGATGTTAGACACGCTTCTTTGATGTTAGACACACAGTGGGGCACTGGGAGAGGTGGCTAATGAATAATCTGCATGTAGCCAGTTGAGCAAGCCATGTAGGCTAACAGGCTATCTATCTATAAATCAGATGGTGTCGGGCATAGTTTCTGAGAAGCTCATGCACGGACTGATCGATTGCAGAGCCGTGCAAACCTAAGGCTACCTGGGGAAGTCGCTTCGCCACTTTTCGAGGGCTTCCAAGTGGCAGATCGAAGTTACTTGCTTGGTAATGTATATAATGCTTGCTGTTTAGAATAAAATCTTTAATCTTCTCACTCACGCTGAATCTCATTCTGATCCAGCTCTTCTGATCCAGCATGACTCTTCTTCAGGTCCCCAGGACTTCAAAAGCTTGCTCCAGTTTTCAGAACATCACTAGTCCTCATGGCTGACATTCTGAATGCCATAGCTCAACAGACCACTGCAGGTAACCACAGTTTGAACCTAAGACTCCAGGATCTCTCCTATTCCTTTCTCATCTTCTTGCTTTACCCCATTCCTTCTGCTCTGCCTCTCCCCTCTCCATATTCTCCCCATCATCTGTAAGTAAGGAACTCAGCATGTGTCTGTATAAACAAAGTAACATTTATTTGACCTTTCGCATTACACAGTTCGCTAGGCAAATAAAATATTTGTTCAGTGACTTAAAGGAACTGATATGCTTGGCTCTGAGCAAGAGAGGAGCTGAGTCTTGCGAAATACCAGTCTGGTTGGTTGGTCCTGCATAGGGGCCCCTAATGGGACTTTCCCTCAGGATGCTGGGCAAGGCCAGAATGGTCTGTCTGTGCTGCAGATGTTGTGGAACAAGTAACAACATGACCTCCTGATTTCCCTTGGAACGGGAAGTATTAAGGAAGAAGTGGCACTTAAAGCCTGTTTGGGCTCTTTCTGCCCTGGAAGAATTCCCGCAAATTCTTGATTTGTCTGTAGCACTTTCATTGCAATTAATTTCCTCTGAGTTCCCTCCTGTTTACAGGTCAAGCTTATAGTCCAACCTTCTTCCTCTAAGTTGTCCTGGGTGATGCAAGTAAGACAGCGGTCCCATTTTCCCCTGAAAAACAGCCATTTGTGCCCAGAGAGGAGGGGAGTGCTTGTCCCGAGGTTATGCATCTTCATGGCTGAGTGGGAATTCAAGTCCAGATCTCCCTGCACTCTAAACCACTGCACTGGGGATTTTCACATTGCGAGATTGAGAACGGTAGCTACGTTCCTATGAAAAATGGCATGCTCATCACAACCAATCTTCCCTTGCAATGGAGCACTTGGTAGTGGAGCTCTGCAGAGCTAGCCACCAACTATCACCCACCACCCAGACTGCCCTGCAATGTGCAGAGCGCTGAAGTGGCATGCGCATGGCGATTCCCCAGGATACAGACTGATGAGGAAAGGGTTCCTGACACAAAGCAAACTTGAAAAAGGCCTAGAACAGCTGGACTGCATCTCTGTCTCCCTGCCATATTTTAAGTCTGCTTACCCTCCTGCTCTATCTGAACACATTTACCTTGACCTGAATCCCTCTTCTCTTGCCTGCTTCACTGTCACCTAGTGTGGTGCTCTTGCAGCCTCTGCAATAGACCCAGTTTCACCCCCAGCTCTGATTCTCAAGCCTTATCTCCCTGCAAGGGAGATCTCCTTTGCAAATCTTGCAAAGGCTGCTCTGGTTGTCCCTTCCATGAGGTTTTCCGCCCCAGCTTCCACTCCCCCTTTTGTATTACATGTTTGCTGAATGCTATTGATTTATGGTTGTTACTTTTACCCCCTTCAGGGAGAAGTCCCAGCCTCCTTTTAAGTCAAGCCCTCTCCTTTGAAGAGCTGACTCTTGTCACTCAACGCTCTCTTTGTTTTCAGTTGCCGGTGAACTTGCTCAAAGCAGAAAAGAGAAATAACTTCCTGGACAAAAGAGCGATAAGCATGCCACTCTTTTGACCTCCCAGCCAAGATTAGCAAAAGATAAGAGCCTGGCACCTGGTTAATTTACTGCTGAAAGGCAGCAAATAGATTTTTTTCTGATTTTCAGGTTTGTGGCCAGTTCTTCCCTCCCATATACCTGGAATGGGAACTCATGTTTTCAGAGGACTGGGCTCCTGTACCTTCAATAGCTGGATGACCGAGGTACTATCAGCTGATGTGCCTGGCATGAGATACTATGCTTCCTGAAGTCCCTTTTATACATAGAAATTAAGAGTACAGGAACACTGTCCTCTTTTGCAGCTGCCTACCCTATTTGCAGGGCAACAGAGAATAAAAATCACTTGCTTTTCTTCCTGGTTGTGCTGGAACCTTTAACAGCAGCCAAACTTGCAGAAATGTTGCAGGTGAAGCTTTCTCCCCATCACTGGATGTGAGTGGTATGAAAACCTTCCCTTGCTTAAATCCCTTCCATCAAAGTCTAGTGAGGTGATCAGATACAAACGGCTCACAGCTCCTGCAGCTTTAATGGGAAGAAACACCTGCTGACATTTCCTCTTCTACATAGCAATTAAAGTTGCAGGATCCCTCTCGTCCTTCCCCATCTGCTGACCCTGGGGCCTAGAGCTGAGTGGAAAAGGGACTTCTGAAGTTCTCTACCCTACTTGCCAGCAGAAGAATTGGAGGGGAAATTCCACTGAATAATCTTGGAGGGTGGAGAAATTCTCCAACCATTTCTCACCATCTGCAATGGAAGCAGCTCAATCCCCCCTTTTCTAACTTTTGTCGTCGTTTCTGCTGCTGCAAAATGTCTCTTTTTGATTGAATTTAGTCTACAGAGGATGGCAGGTTTCAGATCTGAGCTGCACTCAGAACTGTGAGTGAAATTATTACTTATTCTTCTTTTCCTCCATTAGCTCCCGTGTTATCCTGCTGAATTCTAGTTTCCTACCCCATTGTGAATATTGTGGGAGTAATTTTTTCCCCTTAAAAGACTGCCCTCATTAAAGGTCACCCACAAGAAAGGCCTCACAGAGAAATTTGTTGAATTCATAAGAGAAGCTGTCAAGCTACACCAGAAATATCTGGATGCTGATGCGCTTGACTGCCATGGAGGCAATTGTTCAGCATTAAAATGCTTTTCAGCTTTGTTTTGTCCTGGAACCGTAATAATCTTTGATTTCTGACAATTAAGTGCACTGGCTTAATTTCTTTGCTCTTGTCATGATCAACTGGCCAACAGATGTGGATGGTCAAAGCATGGCGCTAATAAACCAGGGTTGTCTAAAGACCATCCCAGGACAGACACACCAGAGCCCTGGGGCTCTCTCTTTGAGGGACAGCCACAACTCTGCCACAAGAAGCAGAGTGCGTGCTTTGCATGCGCAAGATCTCAGGGCGTCTCCAGCACAATGATCTCATTTAATAGGCCTGGGAAATATCGCTACCTGCAATCTTTGGAAACCTTCAGTCAGTCATACAGCATTTGGCTAAATGGACTAATAGTCTGACTCAGCAGGAGTCAGCTCCCTGTGGAAAGTCATTTTGTCAGGATAGCTCCTGTCCCACAAGTAAATTGCTAGATGGGGCAATCCACAGCAGCTTGTAGGACGGCACCCAAGCGATTTTGCATGCCCATCTTACCTCCTGCTGAGAAGGATGATTTCTCCCTGGTGTGGCTATTTTGCATGCACAGGCAAGGCTGCAGGTCCAAACATGGCAAATCCTGGTAAAAATCTACAGAAGGACCATAGCTCAGTGTCAGAGCATCAGATTTGCACGCAGAGGGTCCCAGGTTCGATACCTGGCATCTCTGGGTAGGTCTGGGAGAGCACCTTGCCTGAAACCATGGACAGCCATTTCCAGTCAGTCTAGGAAATACTGAGTTAGGTGGGGTGATGCTCTGACTGAGCCTGAGAACCCAAGGATGGTACGGCGAAGGATGTTGAATTCACCTGATGCTGAAGGACCCCCATGGGTCAGAATAACTCTTGCAGCAGAACACTGGAGCAAATGTTCACCTGACTCTTCCTTATTATTAAAGAACTTCATATGCATTAGCTGAGTAATGTTGTTTGGCCCTGAAGTCCCACCTGCCAGGTATTTTGTAGACATAAGCCTGAGGCTGAGAGAGAAAGGAAGATTCCTTGTGGTGGACAAGAGATTTTTGAAGTAGGCATTTTCCAGCTCACAGTCCAAGCCATCAGTTCTAATGTTGCCCCACTGAACTCAGCAATCTTCCCTTCTAAGTAAACATGCTGCAGGATAGCTTTTTACTGAGGGAAATGAGAACCCCTAATTGTTGGGTGCTTTTCTATAATGGCGGCCCCCTCTTTCTCCCTTGCAAAGTCCTTGCCCCTCCAGAGCGCCATGTCAAACCTGCGCAGCTTGTTGAATGAGGTCAGTTCTGCCTCACACCCCATTCACGTCAACAGTTGCTTCAGCTAAACAACTCTCCAGTGTGCTACAACTCCCACTCTGTGAAATGTTGCCAAATAAGGGTGGCCATGTGCCCTACTTTCTAGAGGACACTCTCTGTTTAAAGGGTTGTCTGGTTTAAATTTAAAGACCTCTAAGACGGGAGAGCAGGAGGGGTCTTGAAATTGCCCATCAACAGTCAGTACCTGGACAGCAGGCTGAGCAGGAACATACAGGCTACCTGGTCATGGTCTTCCCCACTTCTATGGGATGTATTGCATATCTACTTGAAGTATAGCAATTATTTACAAATGTGCCTTTACATGTATATATATATACATTAACATGTGCAAATTTTATGTAAAGCACTTCATTCTTTTGTCCTCTTTTTTTGGTAGTGCATAAATGATCACCTTATAATTGCTGAGCAGTACAGAACTCTTACAAAACAGATCGGAAGCCCACCTGAGAAACAGCTCTAGTTCATCAACACCCTCAGAATCCCTTATATGGTTTCTTTTGCATATGGGAAACCTCCTATTTCATTTAGAAATTTGCTTTCAACCTAATCTGGTTGAAGTTTCAGGCCTTAAGCAAACTGTCCACCCCACCAATGAGGCATATTACAACTCTTTTTGGCTTCCGATGAAAGTCCTCAGAGGTTTCCGTCAAAGTAGAACCCTCAAACCAATTTGGAATGCCATGTTAGGCAGGATTTCAGGGGCAAGTCAAACCGCTACCAGAATAAAGCCTTCTTTGCAGGGTGCCTCAGTCTGGTCCAGGAAGGAAGATGGCTTCCTCTCTGGACAGCACCCGAGTCCTTGTATTATTCTCACAGAACTTCACTGGGCACAATCCTTCCTTTGGGGAAAGGTCTGGTAAGGAGTGTGTAACCAGTTTTCCCCAATCATGTGCCCTCCTCACCAATTAGGCCTGGGAAACATGGCCAATGACCAGGGGTGTTGAGAGCTGTAGTCTCTCAGCATCTGGGAGACACTGGGGTTGAGGAGGCTGGTGTAAACAGGACATCAAGAAAGCATTTGTTCTTGGCTAACCCCTACAGCAGGCTTTCCCAAAGCTGGTGCTTTTCAGATGTTCTGGAACAACAACTCCCACCATCCCTGATTATTGGCCATTTTGTTTGGGGCTGGGAATTGAACAACACCTGGAATGCAGCAGACTGGAAAAAGCTACTATACAGAGATATCTAAGGCTGTGCCCCTTTGGTCATGTAAAACACATGGTGCAAATGCCTCCCCCCAACTTGAATTTTTTTCTTGGCTTTCCTTGAAATTGCTAAGTTATTCTGCCTGAAGTGAAACCTCCAAATTAACTTTGAATTTCCTTTAGGTGAAATTTTGGTGAAAAGGTTGAGCTGAAACCAACCTTTCCTTCTCATTTGTTTTTGGACAGCATTAACTAAACAGTCCCCCCCCCCCATTGATTCTGCAACACTCTATAAACATTTTAATGAGTCAGAGGAAAGAATCAGAGCTATAAGTCATTAGTTGCTAGGAGTTTTCTGAAGACCATAACAGATGTTTCACATATGTGGCTCTGTTAGCCAACTGCCCATATTAGCATCTCTTCTGAGAAAGAGCAGATGTTAGGATCTAAAGGGCTGCAACTTCTTCCAGGGATTGTACAAGTCAACATCTTGTGTTGTGCGTGCTTTGACCATGCGTCTTCAGTTTAGTAAAAACATGTAAACAGGCCAGGAGGCTTTGCCTTTAGGCCTCAACAAAACATGACGGTGCTTCCCCTTTGTGGAAAACTTTGGTGGCCACACAATGTAGAAGGAAGACTTCTGTTTCAAATCACCCTTCCTTGCCCCATGTTCCTCAAAAGCCACTTGTGTGTCGCAATGAAATAATCCAAATGGCAGCCGGCCATTTTGGATCTGTCCTTTCACGCCGCCTCAGATCAAAGTCAGGTTAGGTGCGGAGGCTCTGAGGGCCTCCACCTGTGTGTGCTTCCCTTTCCCATAATGCGGTTGGTCCAGTCTTGCATGGCACTGGCAGGTGGATGCCTTGCTGTAGGTGAGCGACCTCTTCTTCTTCTGGCACTTCTGTATTGAGCGGAACACCCGCTTGCAGATGAGGTAGACAATCTCGCAGACAATGAGGACGATGCAGAAGGCAGACGCCCCAACCATGAAGTAGGTGAAAATCTTCTTCTCCGTTGGCCGAGCGATGTAGCAGTCCACTACATTGGGGCAAGGCTTCAGATCGCACTTGACCAGCTTAGGCATGTCAAAGCTCTCCCATATCCTATGCAGGAGGTAGAGGAAGACGATCTCGATAGCCAACTTGAAGAAGAGGGTGAGAACATAAGTCCACCAGAGGCCACCATGTTTCTTGCCAGTGTCGCTGTAGAGTTTGGGGCAGTTCTCTCCATTCTTTAACCGGTTTTTCCTCTCCCTGTCCTCGCGGTAGGCCACGTGCATTATAACCAGCAGCGAAGGGCAGGTGACAAAGATAAGCTGCAGGGCCCACAGCCGGGTGTGGGAGATGGGGAAGTAGTGGTCAAAGCAGACGTTGGTGCATCCAGGCTGACGGTGGTTGCAATCAAACTCCTTCTGCTCATCCCCCCACACTCGCTCAGCAGCCACCACATAAACCAGGACTCGGAAGACAAAGACAACAGAGAGCCAGATGCGCCCAAAAGCGGTGGAGTATTTGTTCACCCCACTCAGCAGGCCCTGTAGGGTCTTCCAGTCCATGGTGATGGAAGTCTGTGGAGGTCCTGCTCACTTGAGCCTGGAAGGGAGGAAAGAGAGAAAAAAGAAACGGTGTGTAAAATATATATATATTTCAACACTTCAAGATGGTGCCCCATACATTTGTAACCAGCAACAGGCTGGCTGGTTATTCAAGCACTCAGGGGACCTGTCAGAGCTGGCTCTCTGAGGTGAGGGATGAGATGGCTCCTCCTTCCATTGAACCAGTGCTGGGGAACCTGAGGGCCAGGAGCCCCTTCTATCTGTGCCTCACCCAGGCCATGCCCCTCACCAGCCCTGCTTCTCATCCTCCTTGATTGTTTTTTCCTGGCTGGAATGTGTCCATGATCACACCTTTTGCTCTCCTGGATGGAGGATGGTGAGGTGTGTGTGTAGAAGCTAGACTACTGTACAAAGCAAACATTGCCATTTGTTGCTTCACCTACTTTTACTTTTGCCACTGGCCCTGTCAAACGTGCCCCCCCCCCCGAAAGGAAATTGGCCCTTGGGCTTAAAAAGGTTACTCATCCCTGCATTATTTGCATGGAAACAGATCCAACTTTCACTTTGGTCTTTTTTCAACACTGGTAATGGGAAGACGACAGGCTGACCATGCGGCCCACACAGATCTGTCCTCCACTTCCTCACTGCTACTCCCTGCCTCTCAGTATCTGCTGCCTGAGGCATCTGTGCCACACAGCCTAAGGGTACGGCCAGCTGTGGGACCTGCAGGCTGTCTGGCTAGGGAAGGGCATTCATTACAAGGGGACTAACTGAGGAAGTCTCCTTCCATCAGTGGGCCAGAGAGAAGGCTGGCCATACTCCTAGTCCCTTATAGATGTCTTTGGGCTGGATTTACTTTCTGGTCTAAACAATGAAGACACTTTCTTGCTGGTGAGATGCTGCTTTTTGCTCCATCTGTCTTTACCTTGCCATATCTTCAATTGCATAGGGAGTAGACCTATTAGACTTTCCGTCTGCCCAGCCATTCAATTTTATACCACCTACTGACAAAGCCCAAAGTAACTGATTTCAAAGTAAAATATTTCAACTATAAAACACACTGCAGAACTGCCTAACACTCCAGATTAGACTACTGCGATACGTACCTGGGGATTGAGGAGGTCACCTGAATGGTTATGCTCAGACAGTGTCTGGGGCTGGTTTTAATTGGATGGAACAGTATTCCCCACAATTACACTTCTAGGGTTACACTGCATCATGGATTCTGTAGTCCTCCAAGCCTTCACTAACGCTTGTGAACATGTGTTTTGGGCTGAACTGAACTGTTGTGGGTTTTATTGTCTCAGATCTTTACAAAGTATAATATTTACTTTATTTCACCTAAAGTTCTGGAACACTTTTCTGTTATAGAGGAATGCTAGATTTTTACCCAAATTCTGTTATGGGTCATATTTGTCAGCAATTCTCATGGAAACATGAAGAGGTGAATAGCATAATCTGGATTTATCTAGGCCTCTTTATTAAGCACACAGATTTACTCTTTCTGAAAGTGTTGATGTCACAAGATTTATTAACCTGGGCTGGCAGACAAGCAACAACAATTCTTAGTTGATTAATTCTAGCTTACTCACAGTCTCAGTAGCTTCTTGGCACTTCCTTAGAATAATTAACTTACAGGCCAAGGACGTAATCAGAAAATAGGTAAGTAGGAGCAAGGGTTTTGGCTTGACACACCCTGTTTTGAATTTAGCACCTGGTGCTCAGTCTGGGATTCACAAGCCACCGAGATGCAGCCCCCATGAAGTACCATGGACATGAATTAGAATCTCACAGCCAAATAATGACCTCTTAAATTCAGACCTAGTACTTCTCAGGTGCTTGGGAAGGCCCATAGCTCAGTGACAGAGCATGTGCTTTGTAAGCACAAGGTCTTGGGTTCCATCAGGGACATCTCCAGGTGGGAACATTCAGGTAGAGAATGTCCCCTGCCTGGAGAGCCCCTGCCAGTCAAGTGTTGGTGATATTGCCAATGGTCTGACTCAGTGTAAAGGTAAAGGGACTCCTGACCATTAGATCCAGTCATGGCTGACTCTGGGGTTGCGGCGCTCATCTCGCTTTATTGGCCGAGGGAGCTGGCGTACAGCTTCCGGGTCATGTGGCCAGTATGACTAAGCCGCTTCTGGCGAACCAGAGCAGCGCACGGAAACGACATTTACCTTCCCGCTAGAGCGGTACCTATTTATCTATTTGCACTCTGACGTGCTTTCAAACTGCTGGGTTGGCAGGAGCAGGGACCGAGCAACGGGAGCTCACCCTGTCGCGGGGACTCAAACCGCTGATCTTCTGATCGGCAAGTCCTAGGCTCTGTGGTTTAACCCACAGCGCCACCCGCGTCCCTACCTGACTCAGTGTAAGGCGGAGTAATTGCTTGAGGAAGGGTGGTAGCTCAGAGGCAGAGCCCATGCAAAAGATCCTAGGTTCAATCCCTGGTATCTGCAAGTAGCACTGGGAGAGTTTTCTCTCTGAAACCCTGGAGAGCTGCTGCCAGTCAGCGTGGATGCTACTGAGTGAGATAGCCTGATTTGGTGTGAGCCAGCTTGTTTGTTTTGCTCCCTCTGACTTGTCAGAATCTCATATACAGTGGCAGAATGCAAGCATTGGGGTTGCTGTTAAGGGTATCCGAAATGCATCCCTCATCCCATCTAGGTCAGGTTTTTCCAGGACAGCAGTAGCTCTTCCTTAAGCAACCTAATTAGATTTTAGTCAGCTGTCTAACCAGTCTTTCCCTTTCATCCTCTAGTGGTGTGCACAATCCACCCACTTAGCTTTTTACCCTCTGGAAGGAACACACCAGAGTGGTGGAATAGCTTTCCTTTTAACTCTTAGTCCCCTAGCTTCTTTTTCCATTGAGATTCCGTGGGGGGTTAAATGTAGGGATGGGAGAACCTGTCACTTTCGGCTGCTCTCAGTTTCTCACTTTTGCCATCTTAAGTTCAGTCCTCCATATTTCCAGGTCAGTTTGCATTTTTAAAAGGTGCTTATGAAAATCCATCAGAATTTCAGTGCAAATTTCTCCTAATGTACACACTTTTGCACAGCAATTTATCCTATAAGGTGCTGTTTCCATAAACTGTATAAGTATTTTAATGAACACTTTACCTTAATAGATGCATTTTTACACACATTACTTAGCTGGGGAAGTGGGAATTTCATTGAATGACTGTGCTTTGGAATACTTATTGTTTCAGAAAGTGAGTCAGGCAGGTTCCGGAGGTCCGTTCTTAACCTGAAACTGTTCTTAACCTGAAGCACCACTTTAGCTAATGGGGCCTCCCGCTGCTGCCACGCTACCGGAGCACAATTTCTGTTCTCATCCTGAAGCAAAGTTCTTAACTCGAAGTACTATTTCTGGGTTAGCGGAGTCTGTAACCTGAAGTGTTTGTAACCCGAGGTACCATTGTATATGTTTGCCTGTTACTCCAGGCTCCTTTGGGAGGAAGAGTAGGATATTAATTTATTCATTAAATTATAAGTTAAATAAATGTGAACTGAATCAAAATTCTTCCCCCACCCCTAGTTAGATACTTGTCCTTTGGGTTGTGTACTTGCTTTTTTTTGCCAAGCGCATTTCTACTGTTCATTTTAAAACATTGTGTTATTGCATTGCAATTTTATATGTCTATTATTATATAACAGCAAAGCCAGTCGTGGCAAACAACGTGCAGCCATTCGTTAGAGTAAACATGTGGGTAGGGAAAGCCCTGCCAACATATGCTTTTAATAAGGAGAAAAAAAGACATTTTGTTTGGGGAATGGCCATTTTTCCTATGCACTGAGCTGCAAAATCAGATCCTGCTTTGCCATGTTTTTCATTACCGAGAGGCTCCCAGTTCCCCAATCTCAAGAAACTTACCACAGCCAAAGGCCTATCAAGAAGTCAAGGCAAGCTTAACCATATCAACGTATGCATTTAAATACATATTTTGAAACTAAAGTAGTCAATTTTATGCCTATATTGAGAATAGGGAAATTTGGGTGTTTCCCCTGCAAATAAGGTGTCTGTTTGCTCTGCTTTTACAGTGGGCAGTCCTCTATTTGAAGCAGTTCTCTATTTGTATGGTATTTGTACAAGATCAGATTAAATATAAAAGGATTTTAACAGTCCTTACCTGGGCAACAGGCCCATGGAACTGCATTTCTCTTTATATCATGTTCATGATTTCTAAATGTGATAAATTAGCATATGCCAGAATTTTCAAAGGAGGGACTTTTGTCTGGGCAGCAGCAAGGGAAGAAGTGGGTAACCCCCTATCTGCTGCAATCCCAATAATTATGTAACATTCCCCCCATGAGCTGTCATTTGCATCTGAAATATCACACAGGTTAAATGCACAGGTAAATGGAAGGTTATGTCTTGGTGGACAAGGAGACAAGGAGAAGGGTGTGTGCCTACAACACATGCCCTCTCAATAAATATGTGACCCTGAGTTTCTTAGTTCTTGCAGGCATTTCCTGTGCAAAGGTGAGAGGTGCCAGCTGGATGTGGCAACTGTCTGGCATCAGGAGGAATGGACTGTCTTCTGTAATGTAGAACACATGGGCTGGGCTGCTGATCCAGCGAGACTAGAGAACGAGATCAGAGCAGTTATTCCTGAAGGACAGGATCAGAATGGTAGAGAACATGACAGGAAGAATTTTGTTTGTGTTATTTGAAGGGTCTTCTTTGGCGTTATGGACACCACATTTAGTTGACTGAAAACCTTTTTGAAGACTAAGGCAGCAAGAATCCTGCTCTTTTAGTAAAATATGTAAAAGCTGCTTCATTAGATTAGTGCACAATTTCTGTATGTAATAACACCCTGTGAGATCTGAAAAGTGGGTCTTTTATGGGCACTTGAAATAAAATGTGGATGTCTAACTTAGCTGTAATTCTGTTTGCTTCTGTTAATATTGCAAGTGCATGTTAAAAGCAGATAACATGCACAAAGACTGTGCAAAGGTGTTGGTTAAAAAATAATTGTGGCTACTGCATCAAGCTTAAGTGTGGCATTTAATTTGGTGTTTCAGGCTTTTTGGGGTGCTATGACTTGCAAAGGTGTGTTTAAGGAAGCCACTTGTACATCTGATTAAGTAATGGTATTTACACAACTGCTGGAGTTTGATTTGCTAACTTGTAAAATCAAGTTGGCTTGCTTATGACACATCACCGCAGGCACAATTATCTTAAATGGGACACCCATAAGTTGTAAATTGCCGTTTTGCTAGACTTCTACCTGGGATACCAAGAAAATAATGTAAGCAATGGGCTTCTCCCAAGGTATGTCAGATAGAGGGCAAGAGCGAGATTCCTGAATTGCAGGGGGTTGGATGAGACTAAAGTGTTCTCTGGATGTTAACTAATTTCCATTATGTGATTCCAGGATGGCTCTCTGCTCCTGTGCCTTTAACAGCAGCTGGACACAGAAACTGAATGGTCAAAGCTTTCACTATTGGAATACCACTAGGAAAAGCATCGTCTTCTAGATTTGTTTGTGTCAGGTGGTCAGATGCAAAAGTGGAAAGGGCCACTGGACCTTTAATAGTTCTGTGGAGGAGGGCATTTTTAATTTGCAGGAGAAGAAACACCTTCTGAATGTCTTTAAAAAGGTAAAGGTACCCCTGCCCGTACGGGCCAGTCTTGACAGACTCTGGGGTTGTGCGCTCATCTCACTCTATAGGCCGGGAGCCAGCGCTGTCCGCAGACACTTCCGGGTCACGTGGCCAGCGTGACAAGCTGCATCTGGTGAGCCAGCGCAGCACACGGAACGCTGTTTACCTTCCCGCTGGTAAGCGGTCCCTATTTATCTACTTGCACTTAGGGGTGCTTTCGAACTGCTAGGTTGGCAGGCGCTGGGACCGAACGACGGGAGCGCACCCCACCGCGGGGATTCGAACCGCCGACCATGCGATCGGCAAGTCCTAGGCGCTGAGGTTTTACCCACAGCGCAACCCGCGTCCCTTCTCTGAATGTCTTTACACACCTATTAAAGACACAGCAGCCCCACTCCTCTGTTGCATCTGGCCACCCTAGAGTCAGGACATATTTACATCCTTGGTGTATATATTCCAGTAAAAGCAAACAGTTGGTTGTTTTAAAGGTTACCTCCATTGCCTGAGTGTTTTGATTTTGGAAGTCATCCAATATATAATCTCAAGAGTTTATTAACAGCTAAGGTATTGTCAAATATTATATAACCATTACTCACTGGGTCTGAAATGTTTGCATGCAAAATAATGCAACCAACTTCCACCCAGACAAACAGATATAAACAAGGTCACTGAAGTCTTCTTCTTTTGCTTGCTGACTCATTTAATGGGCTTAAGCCTTGCTTAGATTGAATTCCAGAGAAGCACTGACATTTGTCCAGTATGGTTGCCAAATGACCAGAAAAACAAAGGTTCTAAGCCTTAAACAGCACCTTGATCTGGACAAATCAACAGAGAATATTTTTACAGCAGCCTTCCCCAATGCCATGCCTGCAACATTTATTTATTCATCTTACTACAACTCGCATGAGCCCCAGCAAACACGGCCAATAGTCAGGAACTTAGTAGTCCCAAACACTGGGTTTGTTGCTTTTTGAAACACAGTCATCTGCCAGCATAGTCTGCTGATCCAGCTGCTGATGCCGGCAGAGGAGCAGGGGCTAGTGCAAAAAGTTGGCACCCCGACCATCCATTGATACTGCAGACTCTCACTTTTATTTGGTTTCTACCATTCCTCTGCCTAGCTTAATACTTGTGTCTTAAAACAGTAATATTTGGAATGCCTCATAGTTGAGGACAGCCAACGTTTAAAAGTACCTTCCCCCTTCGCTTTTAACAGCACACGCAGACATGGGATGAGGTCAAGCTTTTCCTGGCCTGCGAATAGATGGTGTTGGGAAACTTCAACCACTCAGTTTCTGTTATCTCAGGTTTTTGTTAACAACACAGGAGCAGGGCTAGTAAAACAACGCCGACCCTGCTTATAGCTTAATCTTAAGTGCACTGCTGCAACTAAGCAAACAGACAGGCTTAGTAACTCCCAGCACCCCCTAGGGTGGGACATGGGTGCCGCCACCTTTAATAGTAATGTAGCTGAAGGCATTTCAGCAGGTGCAGCTTGCATGCAGAGCTACACCTGCTGGAATTCCCTCATCTAGAGCGCTCTCCTCTTTTGCATCAGGCTGCTCCATCATTACCTTGCACCTCAAATCTCGACTGGGGGAGGGGGAGGGCTCAAAAAGAGCTGCTTCTTTAACAGGATGCACGTGACATGTTTTCTGGTCTCACTAAAACCTGCCCAGAGCAAACAGGCTTGTTCATCATTACTGTGCTTTTGGCTGCTGCATTCCAGGCAGTACTTAAATGGGAGTTAGCTGGTGAGCGAGTGCACTGCAGGTGAGCTGATAATCTAACCTTCAGGCCTGAAAGGGGGGGGCATTAACCTCTTAACTGCTGGAGCACCGGGGACCCATCTGCAAACCATGTCTATTTGGGAAACCACATCCCACTGTTTGGGCAAGGGCAGCTATGCCTGGCCGCCATAGGTGATCAGGAATTTCATGCAGGCGAGCGAGCTGGTTGATGCCAGGGACAGAGTGCTCTGTCCCTCCTTCACCAGGCAGCTGTGCTCCCATGCTAGCTGCAAAGGAGAGAAAAAGGCAGGCTATTTGCCTCTTAGCAGGCTAGTAACTTAGGGCTGCCATATTTCAAAAAGTAAAAACCAGGATACCCCAAAAGTTGTTGAGCTTTCCAAAAAGCAATTTTTTCGATTGACTTGTCTAAGATCCAGAACAAAGCGTCACCTTTTGGAAATTTCCCCCGGATGTCAATTCCACCTTTGAAATCCTGGTAATGTCTGGGAAAATCTGGACGTATGGCAGCCCTAAATTTCATAGGCTTAGAAGCAGGGGAAACTTCCTTGTACTGAGTCAGCTGTTGGTCCATCTAGCTCATTGCTGTCTGCACTGACTGGCAGTGTCTCCCCATGGTTTAGTTTGAGGACATTCCCAAACCCAACCTGTAGACCTTTTGCATGAAAGCAGATGCACTAGCACTCAGCAACAAGTCTGGCCTAGTGGATACAGAAATGGAATTTGATCTGGGAGACCTGATTGCAGACCCACTCCAGAGGCTTGTTCTAAAGACTCAGGGAAGCTACCGTATTTTTTGCTCTATAAGACTCGCTTTTTCCCTCCTAAAAGTAAGGGGGAATGTGTGTGCGTCTTATGGAGCGAATGCAGGCTGCGCAGCTATCACAGAAGCCAGAACAGCAAGAGGGGGTTGCTGCTTTCACTGCGCAGCGATCCCTCTTGCTCTTCTGGCTTCTGAGATTCAGAATATTTTTTTTCTTGTTTTCCTCCTCCAAAACCAAGGTGCGTCTTGTGGTCTGGTGCGTCTTATAGAGCGAAAAATACGGTATGCCCCTCTCAGCCCCCTCTTTCCCATGTGACAGGAACTGAAACTATAGCAGTCTACCCAGCTAGCAGGTCTGCTATATTTTTGCAAGAGCAATTTGCAATTAGAATGTTTTATAAATAGATAAAGGTAACCAACGGGATTCAGTTCAACCCCATTGTCCCCAAAGCCAAGACAAATCACCCTCACTCTTCCTCAAATGATTAATCACAATGCTTTGCACTGATTTATCATTTTCTGAGTATTCTTCAATATATCTTTGATTATATTAACACCAATGGCTTTATAAATCATCCACATACCTAGGTGCTGCACAAACATGAAACACATACCCAGTTTACAACTTAGTAACGCAGGCTTACAATAATTATGCCAGTGACTCTTTCAACTGCTCTTTAAAGAAGGGAGGTGGGGGGCCCCTGTGGCCCTTCAGATGGTGTGGAACACTCCAGATCCCTTAATGTTTTATTATTGACCATATTGAGTGGGGATGATGGGAGTTGGAGTCCAGTAACATCTGCATGTCTATGGGCCTAGCCCCACTGTTTGATTCAAGGATAGACCTAATTTAGCACAGATGGGCAACTGAAGCTGAGGAAGAAAGGAGCTGGCTTAAAAGACACCTGATAAATGCATGGCTGAGGTGAGACTTGAACCCAGACCTTCTCAGTCCACGGCTCACTTCAGGGGGAGCCAACATGGTGCCCTCCAGATGTTGCTGGACTACAACTCACATCATCCCCAACTGCCGGATGATGGGATTTGGGCTCTAAGAACATGAGGAGGGCACCACGTTGGTTACCCTTAGCTTGCTTTGTTGTTCTTGTGCAGTATCAAAGGCTTTTCAAACACATACTCACACGCAACGTGTGGAAAAAAATAAATGCAGTATACAAATTTAGGGTTGCAGCCAATCCTAGTTTTGCTCAGAGTAAACCTATTGAACTTAATGTCCATCACTGACTAAGGAACATTAATGTCAATAGGTCTACTCTAAGTAGGACTTGGTTGGATACCACTTATAATAATCACTTTTTCTGTATTTCTTGGGCTTGACACAATATATAGTAAATTAATTGCTCTTGTTTTCAAAATTGATAACTCAAGTCATGAGCCTACTTCCATACTTTGTAGTGGTGAGAGCCATCTGGACATGGTCCAATGTGCTACTTGCTTGCAGCTAAGAGCTTGGCTCCTAAGCCAGACTGGGGTGGGCCTACAGCCAGGCAGAAGCTGAATTTAAATATGAAATCTCTTCAGGTGACTGTGAGCAAGCCAGGCCAGCCATTGGCAACAGAACAGGGGCAAATTAATGATTGGATCACGAGACAAACATCCTTTGCACCATCCCCTTTCACCTAATGATGCTGATTGCTTGCTGTAGGAAGTTTTCATGCATCACCTAATTAACTTATGGAACTCATTGTCACAGGATGTGATCACAGTCATTAGTTTTAACTAGTGCCAAAACATGTCCTCTAGTTTCTTCAAACTTTTCCTCCCCTGTGGAAAAAGGTTTCGACTTTTCTGCCTCTTTCTGGGGGCCTTTTAGAATTCCTTCCTAAAAAATACTTTAAAACACACTGTCAACAGCCTCCCCCTTTTTCATGCTTATTACAGGACTAGGGAATCTTCTTCAATCCAAAGGCCACATTACCTAGTGGGCAGCCTTCTAGGTGCTGCATGCCAGAGGTGCATGGAGCCAAAGGTAAGTGTGCAGGGCAGTTATGCAGCTTTTACCTTTGTTCTAGCCATGCAAAAAACAAAACAAAACTAGAACACACCATGTCTCTATTTTCCATGGACGTCCCTGATTTAGCGAAGCTATCCTGGTTTCTGATTTGATCCTGGAATGTCCCACTTTTCCTTAGGATGCCCCATATTTTTTCCTGAAAAATATTGGAGGGTATGCCAGAGGTTTCTGCACGATACCCTCCCCCCCTTCAAACAGGCAAGAGACATTATCACTTCTCACGGACAAATTCCAGCCAGGCAAAAATACTCTCGACTAGGGCAAGAGCAGAGCTGGTAAGTATTATGCCCTGGACACACAGGCCTTATTTGATAGTTTTAGAATGCCCTTTCTTTTCTCAGTATTTGCTGAAGAATGATTAAAAGCACACGGGGACACACACACACACACACGCAAGCAAGTGAAGTATTTGGAACAATGCTTGTTCTGATGGGTTGCAAAAAGAAGAAGCAGAGGAGGAGGAAGAAGAAGAAGAGGAGGAAGAAGTTTTATAAAGAATAGGTCTATTAAAAGCTGTAAGCAGTATGTATGCAACAACAACAGCAAGAATACTCATCGCAAAGTATTGGAAGACACAAGAACTTCCCACGCTGGAGGAATGGCAGATGAAATTTATGGACTATATGGAATTGGCGGAAATGACTGGCAGAATCCGTGACCAGGGAGAAGAGTCGATGGAGGAAGACTGGAAGAAATTCAAAGACTATCTTCAGAAACACTGCAAAATTAAGGAATGTTAGAGTGATGTTGGATTGAAAATAAGTGGTTTCCAGCTGTACAGGTTAAAGTTAAGGATAGATTAAGATTAAAGACTAAGATTAAAGATGTCTAAAGAAATGGAAATTTGATAATAAAAGGGAAAAATTTAAAGCTATATGACATTAAGAGTAAGGATTAGGTTTAAAAAGTTGAAGTTATATATTTTAACATTTTATTAAATTAAAGATTGGGATAAAAAGTGGAAAAGAAACTGCTGGACAAATAATGTGGATTGGAATACAAAAGAGGGAGGTATGAGGAAGTCCAGAAAATAAGTAATTTAAAATTGGAAATGGAAAAGAGAGTTTGTTTTTAATTGTTATGTTTTATGTTTTTATTGTTAAGTTTTGTATTGTTTTTTGTGTGTGTTGTTTTTCTTTTTTCTTTGTTTAAAACCTTAATAAAAAATTATTATTTTTTTAAAAAAAAGCTGTAAGCAGTGATCCATAGATGAAACCTCCATGGTTAGAAGACTACCTTTGGATACCAGATCTTGCCTGCTGGTGCAATTCCTGGAGATATCTAGCAAGCCCCTCTTGAGAACAGGATATTGGACTAGGAGATCTTTGAGGGATCTTTGGTCTAATCCCAATTTTTATTCTCAAAGGATTATGGCTCATAGCCCTTGCATGTGTGAAATAATAAAGAAGAGGTGAGTGATGGTAGAAATGTATAAAATTATGCGTGACATGGGGAAGGGGGATAGACAACAGTTTTTCTTCCTCTTTCACAACACTGGAACTCGTGGACATTCAGTGAAGTTCAGTGTTGGAAGATTCAGGACAGATGACAGAAAACGCTTCTTCACACAGCACATAGTTAGACTATGGAACTCACTCCCACTGGAGGCAGTGATGTGCCAGCAACGTGAATGGCTTTAAAAGAGGACCGGGCAAATTCATGGAGGAGGAGAGGGCTATTGATGGCTACTAGCCAGGATGGCTATGCTCTGCCTTCATGGTCAGAGGCAGGAATGCTTCTGAAAACCAGTTGCTGGAAACCATAGGAAGGAAGAGTGCGCTTGTGCTTGGGCCCTGCTTTTGGGTTTCCCAAAGGCATCTGGTTGGTCACTGTGAGAGAGGGATGCTGAGCTGGATGGGCTATTGGCCTGCTGCAACGGGTTCTTCTTACGTTCTTAAGAGAATGCCTTTGAGCATGCACAGAGTGCCTTTCTCAACTTGCTAATGTTGAACAAGTTTGGGATTAAGGCTTAAAGTCAGGGGCTGTAACTGATACCAACTGCGAAAGTAAATTGTGGCTGGTTCCCCTGTGTGCATTCATCACTTGATGGCTGCCACATCACAGGATGAGTTGCATGTGTGAACGGGCTCACTAGTCAAGTCTTGTGAACAAACACAAAGGGAGGGGACACAGCTTAGTAGTACATGGTGTGCTTTGTGTGCTGAAGGCCCAATTGCCAACATCTTTAGGTAGGGCTGGGAAAGACTTCTGCCTGAAGCCTTGAACACCTGAGCTATATGGAAAGGGCTGTGGCTCAATGGTAGAGCATGTGCTATGCATGCCAAAGGTCCCAGATTCAATCCCTGGCATCTCCAGGTAGGAGTGAGAGAGACTCTGAAGAGCTGCTGCCAGTCAGTGTAAGCAATATTGAGCTAGATGGGCAAATGAGCTGACTCTATATAAGGCAGCTTTCTATGTTACTGAGTTCCAGCACTGCCTATAAGAGGTAGGACTGGGAAAGACTCCCTGTCTAAAACCCTGGAGAGTGGCTGCCAGCCAGTGTAGAGAGTATTGAGCTAAATGGATCAGTTATCTGGCTTGGTATAAGGCAGCTCCCTGTGTTCCAGTGCTGCCTATAGCAAAACCCACTTGCCCCCCCATTCCTTTTTTAGGGCCAACACTTTGAAAAGTCACCATTCAAACACCTGTCCTTAGTGCCGCCTCAGCCATGACACTTCTCTCTGCTGCAGGCCTGACCCAGCCCTCTGTTATGCTACCTTTCCTAAACATCTGGTGATAATAGACTTCCTCATAATCTCACCCATTCTTCCCATCAGTAATGTCGGAATCCCCCAGGGTTAACAGATGTCTTTTGTTTCAAACCCTCCATCTCTTAGAACTTTATTAAGGCCCTTTTATTTCAAAGGCCTAGCCTTCTGGGGAATGCCAAAGGGCCATTTGATGGCTCCACCAGTGCCTTTTATTTTCAACCCATCCCCTATATCGGGGTCTCTAATCTTTTGGGGGGGCCTGAAGGCACATTTGGAAAGCTATCATGAGCACCACAAAATGCCCATTTCCCAGAGGAAAACCCTCTGAGATACCCAAACAACCCACACAACCCTCGACAAATAAGATACAGGCAAAATAGCCAGTCAGCCCTCACAAAAGGCAATCCCCAGAAGCCAAATCCCTCATTCTAAAGTTATTTTTACTAACAACAGCAGTAATAATAACACCGGGGAGAGCCAGGAGGCGGGCACTAAGGCAGATGCCCAAGGACACACAGTGCCCACAGATGTTAGTTTGGGGACCCCGACCTAAGTGGTTCTCACCACCAGCCTCCTTTGTAAGCAAAGACGGGTCTGAGACTCTACCTGTGAAATACTCCTTAGGGCGCAAATCCTAGAGACACTAATATCAATGTGTAAATATGAAGTAAGCATCTCCTTAGGGGCCAATGTCATCTGGCGGTGGGTGGGTTGACTGCAGACTGGTGCTGGGAGAAAAGGATTAAGCCCTGCCTACAGGCCCCACGCTGAATCGGGGCCCCACATGGTTACGCTTCCCCTGAAAATGCAGCTAGCATGAAGCACGCACTAGCAGTAACTTTAAAAAAGGACAGATCCTTTACATGGGGCTGAATTCTGTTGACTGCAGCGAGACTTGCTTCCAAAAACTGTGCATACAATTGCATTTACTTCTTGGTTCGTGAAGTCTTTTCTTTCTTTCGCACTCTCTCGTAAGAGAAGGATTGAACACATGCCCAGCTTTTTCCTACTGAAGCCAAAGGTGCTTTCAAATGATCACGCCCCCATTAAAGAACTGTCAGCCTTCCACCCCCCACAAAGATGCTTTCTTTTTTTAAGTCCTAAAGACCTCCCTCCCCCCCCGCTTTACAGTTCAAGTTCTCAGCCCCAACAGTCTCTAAGGTGCGTCGAGCCACTTACACAAAAGCATAAGGGTGTAGTAGGCACTTTCTTTATAACAGACATTTTAAAAAATCAGAATTGCCAACCAGGTTTGATTTGTTCTTGGGCAAACCGTCTGGAAGATTTCTTCTAGGCAGATCTAACGACCACGATGTTATTGGAGCCAGAGCAACGAAAACGCCTCGTTCAGATGCTATTCACTCAGAATAATCAGTGCCACTTCCTCGATCCACCGGTATAAAGTTAAATTCTACTTACCAACTCCGAATCTTCCTTGATCTTCCTTGCTGACTTCGCCCAGAGAAAAGCTGTGAAGTCTCCCTGGAGGCAGGACCCCGTAACTTTAGGGTTTATGCCATAAAACTTTCTCCCCGTCCTGCATAGGGAAGCGCCAAAAAAGCCGGGCTCATTGCACTGTAAGGAGCTGCCTTATTTTTGTGTGAGCAATAAGGGTGTGGTGCCTCTTGGGTTGTGCAAGAAGAAAGGAATCCTTTCTGAGTTGTGAAGGGGGTGGCAGAGAGAGAGGCTTCGGCTCAGCCGGTTTTCTGCTGAGATCGGGCTGCAAAAGTGCATACGGGACCCAGAGGCGGTGTGGGACAGCCTAGCACACACAATACCCCTTTCCTTTCCCCCCTTTTCTTTGGGATGCCACACTCTCTAAAGCTGGTGTATGTCAAACAAGCCTGTTAGGGCAAGTTGCAGACTAGGTGCGAGGGCAGCTGCTCTTTGAAGATCATGATGGAATGTGGGAGGGAACAGATTAGCATAGCTGCCAATTCTTTTCTTTTTTTGTCTTAGTATTGAGATTGCACCATCAGGGTATACACAATATTTTTCTAGGAACTCTAACCAACAAGGACCCAAAGCACAGGAGGCAATAAAGGAGAGGGAACAACCACACAGCTACAGAAGGGGCCTTGGAGGTCCTAGTCCAACCCTATGCTCAAGGGGTGGGGAACAGTTTTCAGCTCAAAGGCTGCAATTCCTTTTGGGGGCCCCTACATGTCATGAGTGGGTGTGGCCAGAGGTGAATGTGGGTGGAGCAATGCAGGCAAATTTTACCTCTGTACAGTAAGCTCATTTCCACACGCTCTCTCACACCCCTCTCTATCCTCCACCCATGGAAACAAGAGACATTATCACAGTTCAAGGACGCATTTTGCGTTCAAGGAGGGTGCGAAGCAGGGCCAGCACTAGGGGGCGTGGTGAGGCTCCTGATGGCTGGATAGGCTTGGAAGGTTGCATTTGGTTCCCCATCCCTACCTTAGGCTGAAGAAGAGTTCAAGGGAACTCCAAAGCAGGCTTGCAATATTTCTGTAAATCACAATTAGATATTTTCCTAACAGTCCAAGTGTAATTTCTGCGGTAGTTTGTGGTGGACTTTGTGCTACTCATCCATGTGAGGTTTCCACAGCATCCACATGGCATTATCCTAATCAAACTACTGTCCCATACGACCCCCAATTTAATCCAAATTTACCAGTTTTTGTATTATTTTTTTAATCGGATTTTCCACCGAAATGGTAAATTCCAATTAAATGTTGAGCAGACGCATACCTGCATGAGCGGCACCAAAGGCACCATAAACTGCCCTGAGGAAAGACCTCACAGATACCTCCAGTTTTTATATACTTACTTAGAATGAGTTTCAACAGGGGCTGGGAACTTTTGCATTGCATATATATCCCGATATTTTCAGCAATTATTGAAATCAATTAATCAGCTAAAGATGATGGCCCAATTTCACTTTGGTACTGGGGAACCAATCACATCTAACAAGCAGTGTCTGCAAATGCCGACAACCATCTTTTATATTAAGGTGCCACTGGGCAATTTTTTAATTTATTTCGACTGTGTCAGACCAACACGGCTACCTACCTGCATCTTTTATATTGTGATGCTTTGGTTTGTTGCTGTTGCTGCTGCTGTTATTTGGTTGTTGTTTTTAAGGCTACATTCCCTTCAACTACTAGATAATGCTACTCAGTATGATTTGCCTTATTTTTCCAAATACACCACCTAAAATTAACCTCTTGCTTTGTTAATATAAAAACTGTGCAGCTTCTCTCTCCTTCTCTTTTTCACGAAGGAAACTGTATTTTGCCTAAGGATGGGGCTGTCTCCAGTAACATCTGGATTTTAAATTTTCAAAAATTTAACATTTGTATGTTTCTTGGTCACAGCAACCTCTGAGGCAGATGCAACTTGAAACTTGCATAATACTTTGCTGAACTGGTTTTCTGGTTACTTTTAACTTAATTTTATTGTAGCTTTTAAACCTTACTGAACACAGCCTAGAGACTGAGTTGTTAAACAGTATATAAATTGTTGAAATAGATCATACTTGAGTCTAGTTGTTCAAATCTGCTATCCCTTCCCACATTCCATCTTACAACTGTGTTTAAATCAGCCTCCCCCAACCTGGTACAATCAGTATGTTTTGGACTCCATCAGCTTCAACCAACATGGCCAGTGGTCAAGGATGATGTGTTTCATAGTCCAGAACATCTGGAGGGCACCAGGTTGGGGAAGGCAAGATTCTATAGTTTCAACATCAGTCAACTTTCCCCCTTCCTCGTTCAGACTTGTTTGACATCTACCTGGAAGAATGCTATGGAGAACCCAAAAACATACTGTTTTATGACATTTTGCTTTGCCTTCGCCATGAACTTTGGTTCCTCCCCCCTCCCTGCTGTACCAAGGCATCCAGCTTCATTTGTGTGTTTTTATTGTAACACTTAACTTTTTGCCAGCTGGTCTTGGGGAGCTGCCAAAGGTGGGGTATGAATGAAATCAAGAAACAAAAACTCCTCACCTGTGTCGGAATGTGCAGCCAGCCAGTTAATTCAGAAAGATTCATAATCTGCATCTACACCCACAATGTGTGGAAGGTAGGAATGGAGGGATCTGACAATTTTGGCTCTCTCAGTATCTCATATTTCCAATTTTAAATTCAGTTTTCCATATATCTGCAGCAATTTGTACATTTTAGTTAAAATAATCCTCATGAAAATTCACCTGCATTTTAGTGTGAATTTCTCCCAATAAACATGCATTTGTAGCAGTTTGGACTAATATATACATTTTTGCACATACTTTCCTCTTATATAATGCATTTTTGTATGCTATTTCACGAATATATGCATTTAGCCTAGCATATGCTAGTTTGGTACAAATTACTTGGCCAGAGTACTACATTGCAAAATTCAGAGAAGAGCAAAAATTTCAATGGATGGATGTGTTTTGGTTGGAAAGTGCTAATTTGGGATGTTCACCTTTAAATTGAACCTCTCTATCCCTAGTGGAAGACTCCTCCTACATAAAGGCAAGTCTTGCTTGATAAGGGTGAGAGTCTTATTTTAAAAGTGATTCTCAAAAACTGCATTTGAAAAATTCAGATTTCCCATTAGAATTTTGAAAATAGGTCATTTTAAAACATTTTTTAATTGTCTCTAGCGATAGACAAATGCGACAATTTCAGCTTTTCTTCATTTCTCAAGTTCCAGCCTCAAGTTCAGTTCTCCACATTTCCACATTAGTTTGAGAACCATGAAAATTTGCTAGCATTTTATAGGGAATTTCTCCTAATAGGTACGTTCTTTTGGTATCTGATTTTGCCTAAACTACAAATTTTGCAATGCAAATTTCCCCAGGGTAATGCATTTCTGCCCTGCCAGACCTTAAACTTTATTATGAATCAGCAGCTTTTTGCTGGCTGAAAGAGTGGCTACTTCTTGAAAACACAGACATTTTGGATTTAGAAGGTTTTAATAATGTATTTGGATGGCATGCATATTTGTGGTATGATAAGGTCAAAGCACATAAAGCATTTAAAAATCATATTGTCAGGAAAGCATTGTTTAATGTCTGGATAAGATACAAGGACCTACTTGAAAATAAAACCCCAAGGTGGTTGTCACCGATGGAAGCGAAGGCTCAGAAAAAGCTCAATATGGAGGCCAAATGGCCGAAATATTGGGAAATTTTGGAACAAGAGGGAGACAGATTGAAATTGCAGAGTTTTGAAAAACTAAAAAATAAAGTGTGAGATTGGCTTCATTATTATCAGATAATGGAGGCATATAATTTGGACAAGAAAATTGGCTTCCAGGTGGAAAAATCAAAATTGGAAACAGAACTGTTAGAACCCAAAACCAAGATTTTGTCAAAGATGTATAACTTGCTGTTGAAATGGAATACTCAGGATGAAACGGTAAAATCTGCTATGATTAAATGGGCACAAGATGTTGGACATAACATAATGATGGCTGACTGGGAACAGTTATGGACCGCAGGTATGAAGTTTACGGCATGTAATGCCTTAAGAGAGAATATTATGAAAATGATATACAGGTGGTACATGACACCAGTCAAGCTTGCAAAAATCTATCATTTGCCCGATAATAAATGTTAGAAATGTAAAGAAACCGAAGGTACATTCTTTCACCTTTGGTGGACGTGCCCAAGGATTAAGGCTTTCTGGGAGATGATTTATAATGAAATGAAAAGGGTATTCAAATATACCTTTCTGAAGAAACCAGAGGCCTTTCTCCTGGGCATGGTTGGCCAATTGGTGCCAAAGAAGGACAGAACTTTCTTTATGTATGCCACAACAGCAGCAAGAATACTTATTGCAAAGTATTGGAAGACACAAGATCTACCCACTCTGGAAGAATGGCAGATGAAGGTGATGCACTACATGGAACTGGCAGAAATGACTGGCAGAATCCGAGACCAGGGAGAAGAGTCGGTGGAAGAAGATTGGAAGAAATTTAAAGACTATTTACAGAAATATTGTAAAATTAATGAATGTTAGAATGATGTCAGAATGAAGTTAAGTGGTTTTCGCAGCAATGATATAAAGATGTATGTAAAAATGGATTGTTAACAGGTGAGAATCTAAATCTATAATATATTAAGTTAAAGGATTAAGATAAAAAGAAAGAGGGAAAGGAATTGCTGAATTAATTAACTGAACTGGAATACAAAAAAGGGAGGCATGAGGAGGTCAGGGAAACAAGTAAATGAAATGTAAGGCATGGAAAGAATGATTTGTTTTTTTAAGTCTTTTATTTTTTTTGTATTTTTTCTATTTTTCTTTTTCTTATATATGTAACTTTTCTTTTTTTGGAAACCTTAATAAATATCATTAAAAAAAAAGGTAATGCATTTCTGTCTACAATCCTCATTGCTATATACATTCTTATGCACACACTACCCCAGTATATGCATTTTTGTACACACTGCTTGACTAGAGAACTGCACGGCAAATTTCAGAGAAATGTTAATTTGGAAGGATGACTGTATTACATGTCTTGTTTCAGAAAGTACACATCTGGTAGGTTCACCTTTAATTGTGGACTGAATTGAATTTCTTACCTATCCCTACTTGCCACTGAGTTTTCTTTCTTTCTTTCTTTCTTTCTTTCTTTCTTTCTTTCTTTCTTTCTTTTTAAAAAACAAAACAATTTTGGCTGAGTTTCAGTCACTCTGGCAAAAGTTTATTCTCCTTGTGAGTCACCACCTTGCCTCCCTGAAAGGTGGTAGAGGACAACTCAGCTAACAGTCCCAAGTTTCAGTTGATGCTAGAATTCTTTCTTTAATTAAAGAGTGCTTAATTAAGGATGCCGGTTCCCTTTGTGGCCCAGCCCAGCTTGTTTGTTCCACAAGTGGAGCGTGGGATGAAGACCATGTCTTTTCTTCTTCCTTCTCATCCTCTC